TTAACTCTTTTGACAAAAAATTCCAAGATATCTTCTCTCAATTATCAAGTGTTAAAAATGAAAACAGTGTGCTGCGTAATGATTTGACTGCTATCAAAAATCGTGTCGATCTATTGGAATCAGCTGTTCCAAAGTCTAATGCTAATCACGACATGTTTTTTGAGTTTATTGACCGTCAAAATCGTTCTAAAAATATTATCGTTTTTAACGTGCACGAACAATCTAGCCAGAACAATACCTCAGATACTGATTCAATAACACACATTTTCAATAAACTCGGAACTGATATAAAACCCATAAAAATTAGCCGCTTAGGTAAACCTAACAATAAGCCTCGTCCATTGAAAGTTGAACTGCAAGCGGCCACAGAGGTATTTAAAATTCTCGGTCTATCACGCATCCTGAAATCCGATCAAAATCTTAAAGATATTAGAATTACGAGTGATAAATCACCGTATCAGCGAGAACTCCTTCGCGATCTACGCAACCAGTTGAGAGAGCGAATATCAAAAGGCGAGCCAAATCTGACAATTAAATACTACAAGGGTCAACCGACCATTATCTCCTCTGCGGTTCAAAAAAACTAGTCACTAATTCAAGCCTACTACTCTACTATCAAAATATTAGGAGCATAGTTTCTAAAATTAACTATTTAATCCCCTCACTCAATACCTCTCTATTTGATCTTATTGCTTTTACTGAAACATGGCTTTCACCTGATATATGTAACACTGAATTACACTTTGTTAATTACATAATTTTCCGTTGTGATAGATCGCCTCTAAATAGTGATCGTTCTCATGGTGGAGGCGTCTTGATTGCAGTAAAAAATACAATTAAATGTAAAATTTTAAATACTTCTATTAATTGCATTGAAGCAGTTTTCGTGCATTTACAAATGGCTGATACAATTTTCATTATTGGCTGCGTTTATATACCCCCTTGTTCCCCATTAATAACGTACGAAAATGTTTTCTCCGCTTTAAGTAATCTATACTCAGCCTACCCATCTGCAAAATTTATAATATTAGGTGATTTTAATCTACCATCAATTCACTGGAATCATTTATCGCTCCCAATAAATTGCACTTCTCAAGTAGATTCTTATTTTGTAAATATGTTGTCTTATTTTAACTTTAATCAGTTTAACTATATTCTTAACAAAAATAATGTAATTTTAGATCTAGTCTTATCAAATGTTCACCTAAATGTCTCTACTGATCCCGACCCATTATTACCATTAGATATGCATCACCCTGCTCTTAATGTTACTATAGATTACAATCAATTTATCATACTTAAGCCAACAGATTATTTTTATGATTTTAAACATTGTAATTATATTGATATTGTAAAATTTTTAGCCGATAATTTACCTTGCAATGCTTCTATTAATTTTAATCTTAATGAAATAATTAACCATTTATATAATTGTTTAAACGAAGCAATTAATACCTTTGTACCGAAAAAGCGTGTTTCGTCAAACAGCTTTCCCCCTTGGTATTCTACTGAGTTAAAAATATTATTATCACAAAAAAAAATTGCTCATTCATTGTATAAAAAATTTAATGACCCATCTGATTATAACAGCTTTTCCCATTTGAGGGCTAAATGTAAGAGAACTGCTAAACTAGATTATAAAAAATTTATTAATAAAGTCCAATTATCTGTCAAATCAAACCCTAAGTCTTTCTGGAAATATGTTAATAGTCGTAGAAATAATAAGTCAATACCAAGTCTCCTTACGCTCGATACAACGTCAGCTGATAATGGGCAAGATATAGTTAACTTATTTGCTAAATTTTTCTTTAAAAACTACCCTAAGCCAGACAATCTATCCATTTCTGCTCCTTGTTTAAATAATTCCTTAAGTAGTTATAATTTATTTTCCTTTTCGTCTATATTGTTCACTGAGGTCGATGTTTTAAATGAGCTTACCACTCTCTCTATCAATTACAACGTTGGTCCTGATAGCATTCCAGCCTTTTTCCTCTACAATTGCAGATTTATACTTACACCAACTTTAACACATATTTTTAACTTATCGCTCCAAAATGGTATATTCCCCGACTTATGGAAAAACTCTTTTATTTACCCGGTTTTTAAAAAAGGCGATCCCACAATTGTCTCTAACTACCGGCCAATATCAAAAATATCAGTTATTCCTAAACTCTTTTCAAAACTTATTTTTAATAAAATAAATAAACATTGTTCTGCATTTTTATCTCAACATCAATATGGTTTTATATCTAAGCGATCAGCTAATTGTAACCTTGCTATTACTAAACAAATAATACTTGACTCTTTCGTTGCTCGTTCTCAAACCGATATAATTTACACTGATATGTCAAAAGCGTTTGATAGCGTTAACCATGAACTACTGTTTATGAAATTAAAACTGTTTGGGTTCTCTGACCCTCTACTTTCCTGGTTTCGCTCTTTTCTTTCCAACCGCATTATCGTTGTTAAACATCTGAATTTTGAATCCGATAAATTTAATGTACCATCCGGGGTCCCGCAAGGTGATCACCTGTCTACCCTACTTTTTAATATTTTCATAAACGACATTCCGGATGTCATAAAAAAATCCCGCATTTTTCTCTTCGCTGACGATCTTAAACTGGTAAAAATAATTAATAATCAAGACGATGCTGATGACTTACAAACCGATATTAATAACATTCAATACTGGTGCTCAGCCAACCGTCTGTTATTAAATACCGAGAAATGCAAATTTATGCGATTTAGCCTAAGCAAAAATATCATCGATTATAACTACTCTATTTCTAATTCTAATATTGAATTATTAACCACCTTTAAAGACCTAGGCGTCATCTTCGACTCAAAACTAAATTTTTCAGCCCATACTGAAATGATAATTAATAAGGCAATGCGCAACTTAGGATTTATCAAGCGAACTTGTGGATCATTCAGAGATCCTCTATCTCTAAAAGTTTTATTCTGTGCCCTAGTTCGCTCTAACCTAGAATACTGTCCATTAATTTGGACTAATAATACCTCTAAACAGATTGATGTAATCGAATCAGTTCAAAATAACTTCCTCCGTTTCATCTCCTTTAACTTTAATGTTTATAGGCCACCTCACGGTTCCTATGACTCAATATTATCATTCATTAATCTTTCTCCATTAAAAACTAGACGCACTTTATTACTATCGAAATTGTTACATAATTTGCTCTTAGGAAATATAGACTGTGAAGAACTCCTTTCCCTCATCCGTTTTAAAATAAACCATAATAATACAAGATTCAGTGATTTATTTTATCCCGTCCCTTTTAAAACAAATTATATGAAAAACTGTCCTTCTAATATCCTTATGGCTGCAGGTAATTCTATTACCTTTGATTTTGTTTAGCATGTCTCATCTTAAGTCTTTCTATGTTACTATTTAACTTTTTTTTGTTCTTATATATATTATTACTTACAAATGTATAATGTAATTTGTTTGTAATTAGTCATTTCTATGACCTCATTGTATTATTGATACGTGTATACGCTTAATATATTTGTTAAGGACTTACGTCCGTTTATATTTAAAATAAAAAAAAAAAAAAAAAAAATATATACACCACGGTGAAATTATTAACTAATTTAAACCCAATAGCAATAATTAGTCTAATTGTTACCGATAGATATGTTACAAACAATTGTAAACACAGGCAAACAGGGTTAAAATAGGATGAACAGGGATTTGAATGCGTTCAGACAGGTTTTAATATGTTCAGACTTGTTAAATCGAGTTTATACGATTCCAGGATACGCTGTTTGGTAAACCGACACAGTGTCCCTACTACTTTTATAAACAGCCTACTACATAACATACATACAACCTGCTACAATTATTATAGCGTATACTAAATTTGCTTTGTATTGCTTAGTACTACAGACTTATATTTAATATTCATTATGCACAAAGACATAAAGTGTAGATAAATATGACAAAATTGTGTAAAATAAAAATATTATATTTTATTGAATTTTAAATCCTACAAGTTTATAATAATAAGTTTATATTTATTTTATATATATATATAAAAGTTTAAAAAAAAAAGAAAAATATTAACAAATTACTGAAAACCATGCCTCCGTTTTCCCCACCAAAACAAAGTCACGCATTCTCCTTACCCCCACCATCGAGAGGCCACGCCCACTGTATGACACGACCCTACCCCAGACCACGCCCACCCTTCAAATCATTGGCGGGTTAGAGGTTGAGGCGTGGGGCCTAGTAATCCCAATATTACCCTACTTATATACATGATAAGTATTTATGTATAAAAAATAATACAATATCATAATAAGAATAATTTTGATTTAGAAATTTATAAAATTGAGTACTCCATTGTTCTTTTAAAAGTATTCTATTTATGAATAATTTTATTATTTCTTTGTTTAGCTACATACATAATTCAATGATAAAATAATAAGTTGTTTGATTTTCTTTTAAATGTATTAATACTAAGAAAATAATAAAAAATGAAAAATGAAAAATTATTATTAGAAAACAAACTAAACACTATATTTATACACAAAGTATCAGTTTTGCTAAGTCATATCGTAAAGGAAATTTAGTGTTAACTTATTTAAAGCGTTAAATATGGATTTATTAGCATTGATCATACTAATAAAGTCAATAAGTTTTTGTGTTGGATTGTCTTATTTAGAACTTCACTGCAATTTTTCAAAATACATGTTAAATTTCTTTAAGCATAATGAAAAATACTTATTACATCTTGAAAAACGAAACAATATTCAACCAGTTGAATTAGAAGACTTAAATACCTATGGCGCAGCTTTAAAGACACACGGGGAAATCATTATGGCTATGTTAGATGCATTGCGGACATTCAGTACAGATTCTACAGCAAATGATTTGATGGCTATTAATTTATATTTGAACAATGTTTCAGGTTCATTAAATTTTATAACTAGAAATTGCTCTGGAAAATATAATCAAAATCTTTCGAACGTTCTCAGAGGTTATCAATTACATCATAGAACAATAGTTGACGACCTAAATGAATATATTAACAAAAAATGCACAAATGTGACTGTTGATGAAGATTTTATAAAATGTCCCGATTATAACAAATCAGGTATATATAATATTAAAGATTTGCCAAAAATTTCTGAACAATTAAAAAACCGATTTAAAAACTATAATACTAATAATACGACCCTAATGGTTAATAAAAATGAGATTTTCAATGCATTACTCTCTTCTCTTAACTCAACAAAATATAATGACTTTAATCCTAAGAACTTACTATTTTTTGATCTGTTGAATCATAACGTAGACAACAAACTTATCACGATAGACAATCATGATAAACAAAATACTTCAATAGAAAGTAAAAAAAATTTAGATTTATTGAGATATGCACGTGTTAAATTTAAATGTCCTGATGAATCGTTTTTAAACTTAACCGATGTTTTCCAATATATGTTGTATAGTTTCAAAGGCCAAAATATGCTTACATTCCAAGAATTAGTAATAGCTGCATCTATAAAACCTTTAATTGCACTCGCACGAACTTTTAGTCAGTTTACTAATAATTTATCAAAATCCTTTAATGAAAGAATTATGCAAAAAAAATATGTAAATTTTGAAAAATTAGTTGATGTTGGTGTAGAAATTATAAAGAGTTTAAATATTATAATTCATCATAAAATGTTCATAGGTGGTCCAGAAAACCTGCTTAATACATTATTGGATGTTTTAAAAGAAATTGTTGCTCGCTATAAGTATAAGATAGCAGACAATAGTTTAAAATTAAAAAGTATCATAGTAGCTGTTTCTGCATTGTTAAAGAGTAATAAATTAGATTATACAATTGGTAATGACATGAGTCAAAATATCAATGGAACGAACTATGATTCGATATTTTCAACAATCGAACAATATTCCCGAAAAGTTTCTTTTTATGTAACAGAATTAAAAAAATTTAAGCAACTATTTATAATTGTGCACGAGACTTATTTTTTTAAATATCTTTATGTCAGTAGAAATAAGAATTTTATTGTTGATGATATTATTGGTAAGTTATCAAAGTGACTTGGAAATTTTTAGTAATATTTTTAGATGATCACTTAAAACCTAGTCATTTGAATTATAATGCAACATGCATTCATATTAAACATATTTTATGTTTATTGTGAGCTGCTTCATTGTGGTAGCGTGAACACATAACATTTTTAAGTAATTACATGAAACTTAGTTAATTGCGTTGTAAACTTTTTTAACATCGCTTGGATTGATCAATAGGCATTTAAAGTAATCTTCTCATCTATAATCGTATGATTATCAATGAGTTTTTTTGATTTGAATTCGATTTTTAATTAAAAAAAAATATCTAAATTATAATGTTTGATTATTAATAATGGTTGAAAAAAGATATAGATTACTTAAAATATTACCATTTTGTGCGCATGAGGCTAGATTGAAAACTAGTTACTGTTAATTTTATTATCATTTATACTAAGACATTCTATAACATAAACAAAAATGAAAAAAAAAAATTATAGCACTGGTCGTGCCAAATTTGGACAAATTTAGATGATATCTGATAATAATTAAAATAACTATCATAAGAAACGCTTCAATGCAAATCTGTAGATAATGTATAATTTTAAAAAATCATAGGATTATTCTAAAAGTATGATCAAATTATTTTCCTAAATAATAACCCGATTAGTAGGCCTTTGATTTATACGTATAATATAAGAATAAATACTAATTATAGTCATTAAATTTGGTATGAAATTGATAATCAATAATTTAATATTGTAATTCTTACGCTGAAATTACCAAAAAATTATTCAGTAATTGTTTATATCGTTACTTTTTATGCTAGCGTGTATAAAAATTAAAGGGTTTGATACAACAACCAGAAGAAAACAATTTTTAGTTAATTATGAATAAATAACATTGGTCTACAAAACATTTTCATCATAGTCAAAAATATACTATTATAGATCACTTTTTTGCGTTGATTTCTAATCTCTTTTCTAATTCTATTCTGTCAAAAGATCACAAATCGTATCTAGTCAAATACATTACCCCCAAAAATTGAAATAATTCCCTCGTTCATCGTAAATGGGGGAAAGCTCCAAAAAAATTACTAATTTAAAAATCGCTAATTTTTGATATTTATTCAACATATTTTACTTAAAATTGCCATAATTTTTTTAAAAATTATCAAATAGATGTACTTTTTATTTTTATAGATACATGAGGTATTTACCTATCATTTTGTATATTTTTTGTATAATTTTGACCCTTTAACTACCCACTGGGGATGTTTCAAAATGACAAATTTTTATCAAAAAATTAACTTTTTCAACTTAACTTTGAAAGTGTTCTAGAAATATTAATATTTTTATATATATCTTAAATTAAAGCTAATGTTATATACTTTATTATGGAAAAAAAATGTGCAGACTTTATTTTGTCCTCGCGGTTAAAATGGCTACTAAATACTATTATTGTGCTAAAATTCTCGATTTTATATTTTACATTTTTATCTTTATTATATTTAACTTTTTGAAAAATGTATGGATCATTATAATTTTTTTGTGATAACTACTAATAATATACTTCATTTATGTGACATACTTTTTTTTGTTAAATAGGACCATTTCCCTTTATGCAGTAGGGTTCAAATTTTAAAATTCATATAGAAAGTAGAACTTTTTTAACTTCATTTTTAAAAATGTCCCGAAAATACTGACGACTTTATATATATATTAAATTAAAACTTATGTAATATACTATAATATGAAAAAGAAAAATTTCAAACTTTAGTTTATTTTCTAGTGAAAACTAACATCAAAATTATTAAAAAAATAAGATTTTTGTAAAAAAATTTTATTTTATATTTTTAACTTTATAATGCTATAACTTTTTCAAAAATGTATGGTTCAATACAATTTTTTATGATAAATACTATTTATAAATTTCTTTCATTCGAAATACTTTTTTTTTTTTAAATAAAACGATTTCCCATTATATATTTATATTACAAATAAATATATATATCTATATATATATTAGGGTGGTCCTTATTTTTAAATTTCATAAATTCAGAGTCATGGGCTCAAAATTTCGTTAGGTTTACTGAAAAAATGAAACTGGTAAAATTTGAGTACAATAAGTCAACCCCTTCACGTGCCTCAAAGGGGTTGAAGTTCTTCAAAAATGGGGTGGATTATCTTTTTTTGAGTGTACGCTCTTTATTTTTGAAGTTTTGCCAAAAACATATAGAACAATTTTTATAGAACTTAATGTGAACAAAAAATAAGGTAATATATTATTTTTTTGTAAAATTAATATTTTTTCGTAAAAATAAGAAAAATCAGGTTCTCTTAATTTTTTCAAAAAAATGACATAGTTTTCAGTTATACTTTTCCAGTGTCTTAAATTTTAATTATACAGAAGTAATATTAATCACCGTGATATCTTCTATAAAAAAGGTCATTTGAGTTTTTTTCGAATTATGAATCCTTTCCAAATAAAAATTTTAAACAACTACGAAAACGTGATTTTTTTTTTAATTTTTTTTGCATGTATGTTTTTTTGTTCATAAATTAACAAATTTTCTTAGTTATATTATAACTGCTTATATATTTAATTTCATTTATTCCTAAAATCATAAATGCAGTGATTAAATTCGGCGTCTTGACGCCCGAAAAATTACGTAACAAAATAAAGATATATATTTTTTTTAAATAATTTTTTAAAATAAAAAATATTCTTTAAAACTATGTTTAAATGTGTATTGATTCATAAGAAATGATTTAATAAAATTCTTGTAAATGATAAAGTTTAAATATATGCACAATAAATTTTATGTATAAAATAATACAATATCGCAATATGAATAATTTTCATTTAAAGATGTACAAAACTAAACCACTAAATAGTTCTTTTAAAAATAATCTGTTTATGATTAATTTAATTTTTTTTTTTTTTTAACATCTTTCAACGATAAATTAATGAATTGTTTGAATATCTTTGTGGAAATAAATTTAATACTTGAAACATAAAGATAAATTATAATTAGAAAACAAATTACACACTGAATATATACAGATAGAATCAGTTATGCTAACGCTTTTAGTAATAAAAATTTATCGTGTATAATTTTAACGTTAAGTATGAATATAATTATATTATTCATACTATTGAAATCATTAAGTTCTTGTATCGGATTGACTAAATTAGAACTTCACTGCAATTTTTCAAAATACATGTTAAATTTCTTTAACCACAATGAAAAATATTTATTAAATCTTGAACAACGAAACAATATTCAAGCAGTTGAATTAGAAGACTTAAATACCTATGGCGCAGCTTTAAAAACACACGGGGAAATCATTATGGCTATGTTGGATGCATTACGGCCGTTCAGTAAACGTTCAACAGCACATGATTTGATGTCTATTAATTTATACTTGAACAATGTTTCAGGTTCATTAAATTTTATAACTAGAAATTGCTCTGGAAAATATAATCAAAATCTTTCGAACGTTCTCAGAGGTTATCAATTACATCATAGAACAATAGTTGACGACCTAAATGAATATATTAACAAAAAATGCACAAATGTGACTCTTGATGAACATTTTATAAAATGTCCCGACTACAACAAATCAGGTAAATATAACATTAAAGATTTGCCAAAAATTTCAGAACAATTAAAAAACCGATTTAAAAACTATAATATAATTTACAATGCATTACTCTCTTCTCTTATCTCAAAAAAATATAATGACTTTAATCCTAAGAACTTGATATTCTTTGATTTATTGAATCATAACGTAGACCACAAACCTTTCACGGTAGACAATCAAGATAAACAATTTACTTCAATAGAAAGTAAAAAAAAATTAGATTTATTGAGATATGCACGTGTTAAATTTAAATGTCCCGATGAATCGTTTTTAAACTTAACCGATGTTTTTCAATATATGTTGTACAGTTTTAATTCTCGAAATATGATTACATTCCAAGAATTAGTAATGGCTGCTTCTATAAAACCTTTATTCTTACTCGTACGATTTTTTATTCAGTTTGCTTATAATTTATCGATATCTGTTGATGAGAGAATTATACAAAAAAAAGATATAAATTTTAAAAAATTAGTTATTATTGGTGAAGAAATTATAAATAATTTAAATCTTATAATTCATCTGAAAATGTTTAAATATGGTCCAGAAAAAATGCTTAATTCATTATTCAGAGGTTTAGAAAATGTTATTGATTGCTTTAAACATGAGAATATAGACAACAGTTTTATTTTTAAAAGTACTATAAATGGTATACATTCATTTCTAAAAAGTAATAAATTTGAATGTACAATTATTAATGACATGAGTCATAAAATCATTGGAACGAACTCTGATTCAATATTTTCAATAATTGAACAATATTCTCAAGAAGTTAAAGCCTACATAACGGAACTGAAAAAATTTAAGGAACTATATAATATTGTATATAAGACTTATGATTTATCATTTTTTTATGTCAATAGAAATAAGAATTTCATTCATGATAACATTATTGGTAAGTTTTCAAAGCAACTTGAAAATTTTAATTAAAATTTTTACGTTATCATATGAAACTTAGTTGATCGCGATGTAAACCTTATTAACATCGCTTGGATTGAACAATACGCATTTTAAAGTAATTTCCTCATCTATAAACGTATAATTATTAAATGAGTTTATTCGATTTGAAGATAATTATTTGATTAAAAAGAAAATATTTACTTTATTATGTTCGATTTTATATGAAATCAGATTTAGATCCCCTAAAATATTACCATTTTGTGTGCATGAGCCAAGATTGAAACCTATTTACTGTCAGTTTTAGTTCCATTTATTCTGAGTCATTGTATAACATAATGCAAAAATACTGTAGCACAGTGTAGTCGTGACACAGTGTTGACGTGGTATATTTGAGAATATAGATGATACTAAATGCTCATTTTTTACTAGTTAGTAATTATATAAAAATTTAAAAGTAATAGGAAAAGTGTAATTTCAGATTTGAAAACAGCGTGAAAAGTTGAAACAGAAAAGTATACTTTTGATTTTTTCTCAGTTTTTGGTAGTACAGTGTATTTATTCGTAAGTATGTAATGTTGCAGAATTTATACTAGTTTTTTTGTTTTAAATATTATCACTTAGTGGTGTGTGCATTAGATGTATAGTATTGATAGTTTTTTTGTTCTTCGTTTTATTTTTTTAAATAAACGTCGAGATGTCCACGATGGTGTGATGCGCGAACTATAGCCTGTGGTGGGCCGTCACTCCTCAAGAACTCAACGACAAGTATACATAAAATCCCTTCTTGTACCCCTTCATAATGTCTAATAGCACCTTCTTTATGTTCTTCTCCCTTCCCTTTCTTCTTTTTATGAATATATTCTTAAATGATATATGTATATAAATCTTAAATAATTAAATATTATTATATTATACATAGCCTACGTTTTTTTTTCTCTCCATACTTTTCCCTCATTTTTATTAACATTTGTTTTTTTTTTTTTAAATTAAAACCTAGTAGCTCCGTCAACGAGTACTATTCTCGCTTGGTTCGGCTACTAGGTCACTGTCCAGTGTTCCCCTATGCAATGGGTAAATAGTAGGCCCTCTGGTTTGGCTGAAACATTACAAGTAACAAATAGTTTTTATTGAAAAGTATTGTATCAAGCCCTTTAAATTTTTATTTTTATTTTTATACGCATAAAAAGTAAAGAAATATACAACTATTATATATTTTTTCGTATAAATTACAATATTAAATTATTGAACATCCATCTTATACTAAATTTAATTACTATAATCAGTATTTATTCATTTATTATATTTTTAAATCAAAGAACCACTAATCTGGAATTAATTAAGGAAATAAGAGTTGATGTTGCTTTTTTAATCATTCACCAATATCTTAAAATTAAACACTATCTACAGATTTGCATCGAAGCGTTTCTTATAATAGTGGTTTTAATCACTGTCAGATATCATCTATACTTGTCTCAACTATCCCACTTCCATTCTGTGCCGCAACCCCATTGTACTACCGTTTTTTATATTGTTACTAATTAGTAAGATATGAGTATAAATAAAGAAATATAAAAACCATAAAAATATAGGTCAAAATAAAATTTAATAACACATCATAATCGATAAAAGTAGGCATGGAATATTTCTGAATTTTCGTATATTATAGAATACTATAGGACATAACAGAATATAGTTCTAAATATTTTTTAAAGTTTTTTTAAGAAAAAGTAAATTTTTTGTAAAAAAGTTGTCATTTTGAATCCCTCCGTAGGCTGGTAAAGTGGCAAATTTATAAAAAAATATACCAAATCTTGAATCAATTAAAAAAAAATTATATCGATTTGGCCGTTTTTAAAAAAGTTATGATAGTTTTAAGTAAAAAAATATGAAAAAATGTCAAAAATTAGCCATTTTTAAATTTGTAATTTTTTAAAATTTCCTCCATTTATGGGAAACGAGGGAGATATTTTCAATTTTTTAGGGAAAAGTTTTTGACTAGATACGATTTGTGATCTTTTTATATATTGTTGAAAAATATCGGTTCGGTTAGAACTGAGAAAAAGTAGTTAAAGGTACACACAAAAAAAAAAAAATCATGGTAAAATTAATACCTTCTCAACTTTGCATCGAAGTTAAAATAGTAATTTCAACGAAATTTTGAGCTTTTTTCATAATTTTTAAAGTAATTAAATAAATTCCTAATCTCATATCAATCTAATCAACATAATTTTTGAAATCCTCATAAAATTTTCTATTTAATGATAACAATATCAAACTTGTAAGTTGTACTAAAAAAAGGTTAAAAGTTCAAACATTTTTTAATTAAGGGGAGACAGGTTTATTGAGACTGCTGCATATTTGAACATAATAACACTTATGATTATTCATTCGACTAAATTTCAACGTAGCGTTATGCTATTCTCTTTCAATTTTTCACATTTCTATTCTTGTGACCTGTTAAATATAGAGTTATTAAGTATCGCGTAGCATAATTTATAATCATATCGTGTAAGAATAATTCAATAATAAAATATTTTATAAATCTAAAGAAATTCCCACGGACTGGTTAGTAATTTTAGCTATATAATGAATTATAAAAGGCTTTGTAATGAATATTATAGCCCGTGTATACACAAATATAAACACTTTAACAATCCTTTTCATATTACATTTCATTGTTTAATTTTTACAGAATATATTTGCAACCAAAGCAGTTATACAAATTTATATAGCCAAAATAATAAAACGGATATTCAAACAGAATCACAGATCAAGGTAGATAAAAATGACAATTTTGCATTTGACGTAGAAGATATGGTCAACAATCTTTACACAGATATCGTAGAAAGTAGTGAAACTACAAATCAACAGGTGGAATCTGTCTCATGTGCAAATCCAGAAAGTCAATCTAAAAACAGACCGGAATATATTAAAGATTATCTTCTTTTTAATCATTTTTAAAAACTAGTTTTATTTTTTATAAATATATATTTTCATTAATTTTGTTGAAATTATAACCACCCTTTATTAAATTTATATTTTATTGCAATAAATTTCGGAGACGAGTCCATAATTTTTTTATGGTTATTTGTTTTTTGTCGTGGTTATTTTATAAAATTATGCGATACCCATTATTTCAAAAATATTATAGATCCGTAATGTAATTATTCTAAAATATTTTATTTAATAAGCTAAAAATAAGAAAAAAAAGTTATAAAAAACTATTTCAATTATTATTTGAGCACATATTTTTAATTGAAAGGAAAATTGAATAGACATGATTATTGATTGATCACAGGAATTATTCTGTGGTGGTGAAGTGACAAGGGAATGGTTATTAAAGGGGATATGGCCTACAGGGAAATACTTGAGATCATAGATAACTTACAGAACTTGATAGAGAGTGTTCTGGTGAGAGTCCTGCCTTAATTTTAGCGGGTCATCATTTATGTTAAAATTCACGTTTAGCTTTGATGCGAAGCTGAGAAAGTATTGTTTTTACCATCATATACGTTTTTTTTCGTCTATGAAAATTCTAAGATCTTGCTGGACTAGTTTTAATGATTGATACATCAGAACATCCCAATTTTATTTTAGTTGAACTTTTTGTCACAAAAAATTGCTGGATATTCCCTTAACTTTAAAAATTAAAAAGATATCTCAAGATTACAATACTATAAAAAAAATGTGTTACATTTTAAAAATACTGTCATAATAAAAAATATAGATAGTTACTAAAGGTAGAATTTCGTTATAAAATAATTATTCTATAGGGAGAAAAATGTATAAATTAAAAGAAATAGAAAAGGAATATAATATTATAAAGTAGAATAAAGTATAATGATTAGGTATTAAATTATTAATTAAAATTAATAATGTTTTATTGCTAAAATTCCTTTAAGTCTAATATTTTAAATTTTTGCAAAACTATTTGGTATAATATAAATATTTATAATTACTATACAATTTAGATATAATTAAAGTATACAAAATAATAAAATAATTTAATAGTATACGAGACTCTGATATTTGATCATTTCATAAAAAAATATATATATTATAAATTTTTTTATAAATATTTTGTTATATAAATATTATTTATATACATATATATCTATTTACTGCAGCATTCATTTAACTTATTTAAGTAATTATAATTAATTTTAAGCATTATGGAATAATTACCATATTTGTTCAGCACGATACAATAAAGTCTAAAATATAATCTTTATGTTCTGTGATAATTTAATACTAAAAATAAAAACTTTTATATAACTTTTTTTTATGTATTTGATCAAATGCTGTCTGCTATTTTATTTAAAAATATATTTTTTTTGTCTCTATAATTTAAATTACTATATAATTCTTAAGTTATTTTGATATAATAGTTGAATGTTTGTCAAAGATCTATATGCAAAAATTATAGTGAATTTAATAGTTCAAAATTAGAAACAGCCTTGAAATAAATTACCAAAATTAAATCGAATAGCTTTTCAAATACATTTTTGACTTTTTACTTTTCAATTAACCTTAAACATTTATTTTTATTTATTAGAAAATCATTATTTAGTACATTATAACATTTTTTATAATTAAATATAGTATATTTAAACAATATGTTGTATTTAAAAGACACTTGCATTACAAATACAGTAAGAACAAAAATTTATTTAAGTTTTAATTTATGGGCAAATGAAGAAGTACCGCCATAAAATTCCTAATTATAAAATAGTCATACTCGCATCACTCCTTATCACTATTTCATAATTGTCATAACTTTTGAAGTATTGATTCAAAACTTCTTATTCAACCACAATTTCTTTAATTAGATAATTTCCTATTTAATAGGGTAATTAAATATTTATATAGACATTTAAAAAAACGCAGTGTAGAGGCGTCATGACATAGTGAGTATACGGCATAATTGGGACAAGTATCAATAATATCTGAGAGTGATTACATCAATATTATAAAAATTCATTGATGCATATCCTTTACACTTCAAAAAAAAAAATTGTATATTTGTAATTTTATATTATTTATGTTTTGAAGTTTCACAAAAAACCAATTAAAAAATGTTGATTGTCGTTTTTATATAATATTTAAATTTAAGTAGGATGATCATTGGAAATGCCATTTTTTACAGAATCGTAATTTTAAAATATTTTTTTAAATTTCTAAAACTGAAGAGATTTATTCAATTTTTATGGCAAGGAAAACTTCAACGAGAATAAAATTGAGTTCTTTTGACGTATTAATCATTAAAACCAGCCAAGGAAGAGCTGAGAATTTTCATGCATAAACAAAAAAACCCACGTAATATTAAAAATAATACCTTCTCAGCTTCGCATTAAAATTGAAATAAATTTGATCATCACGCAACTTAAGTTATAAGTGATAATAATAAAAAGTATTATAGTAGTTAATAAATTATAAAATATATTTAACTACAAAAACCAATAATTTTTTTTCAACATGTATTTACTTTGCGAGTATTTGAGAGGTTTTTAACACACGGATCACTCTGTATTACAAATGATATATAACACAATATATTTGAATAATAATCCAAACAATTTATTTTAATGAAAAATTTAGTAAAAGCATATCTTTTCATAAACTTTTATTTTATATTTTAAAACTTTGTGTAGAGGATTAATATGTCTCTATTTAAACTAATTGTACTTTTAAACATAGTTAATTTATCTATTGAATTATCTCATGTTGAGCTTCATTGTAATTTTTCCAAATACATATTAAATTTTTTTAAACACCATGAAAAGTACTTATTGTATCTTGAAAAACAAAACAGTATCTTTCCAGTTACTCATGAAGATCTCAAAACCTATGGCACATCTTTAAAAACACATGGTAGGATTATAATGGGTATGTTGGATGCATTGCGAATAAAGGGTAAAGAATCTAAAGCAAATGATTTAATGTCTGTTAATTTATACTTAAACAATGTTTCTGAGTCATTAAATTTCATAGTTAGGAACAGTGCAGGTAAATATGATCGGAATCTTTCTAGCGTCCTCAAAGGATATCAATTATTTCATCGAGTAATGGTTAATGCTCTAGAAGAGTTTATAAACAAAAGTTGCAATAATGTTACTGTTGACGAAGATTTTATTAAATGTCCCAACTATAATACATCAGGAAAATATAATATAAAATACTTACCAGAAGTTTCGGAAAAACTTATAAACCGGCTATTAAATAAAAATTCATTTAAGATTGATCCAAATAATCTGGTCCCATTGTTAAATAAAAATGAAGTATTCATTTCTTTATCGACATCATTAAACTCAAAAAACTATAAGGACTACGACCCGAAAAATTTATTGTTTTATGATTTATTAACTCCAAATAACACGGAATCAAAAATACAACACTTATCAGACATCCAAAAAAATGAACCTTCAATTATGGTAAATGAAAAATCTTTAGATTTATTGAAATATGCAAAAGTCAAAGTTAGATATAATGGAAAAAGTATGTTAAATATAACTGACGTAGTTCGATATATGTTGTTTAGTTTTGATACACAAAACATGATTTCATTTCAGGAACTTGTAATGGCTGCATCTATTCTACCTCTTTTGTCAATTTTACAAACATTTTGTTTGTTTATCAAAAATTCACCAAAGGAAAATAATAAAGTAAAATGTTACAGTGAAGATGTGGATTTCTCAAGAATAATTAAAGTTGGAGAAGAGATTCTTAAAAACAGTGTCTTATTCAATAATTACAATATTTTTGTTGGAGGTCCAAAAAAAATCTTGATTAAAATAATTGAAACGTTTGAAAAATTTATAAGTCAAATCAAACTTAATAAAAAACTTCATTTTTCTTCATTACAACTAATTCTGAATCTTACGAGTTCATTTTTAAAAGGTAATAGACTTGATCATTCACTCTACTCAGTTTCCACTCAGGATTTAAAAGAAATAAACTTTAAAGATCAATTTTCTCAAATTGAACAATTTTCTAATCGAGTTACAAATTACACAACAGCATTTAAAAAATATGTACCATTATTTAAAACTGTACAGAGAACTTATTTTTTTGGAGTTCTTTTTGTACTTAAAAACAAGAATTTTATTGATGATAGTATTGGTAAGTGCTTATTTTTTTGGAAAATATATTTATTAATTTGTAGAATATTCTCAAATGCTAATATTGTGTACGATATTTTTATTTAAATAGCAAAGTTTGTAAACTAAAATAGAGAGATATCTTGTGTGAGAAATATATATGGATATTTGAAAATTATTAAAATGCAGCTTTGAAAATAGTAATGATAATTGTAACTCTGATAAAAAAATTAATTATAAAATTATCGTATGAAAATGTTATATAATTCAAAAGAATTGCATTAAAATTACATTATATTATCATAATAAAATCAAGGATAGAATAATATTAGAGTTGATTGTTTAGTTTATGGTGACATTTTGTATTATTATAATAATGTGACATTAATATAACTTGAAGTTTATGTAAATTTCTAAATTTTAATGACTTTCTAAAAATGACGCTTAGATAAAATTAATGTACGTTTATTATGTAAATTAATTTAACGTTCTGGATATTTTTAATATTTTTTACGTAGAAATAGCCATAAAAATGGGAAGGTTAAAAAAAAATGTTTTAATCGAAATATAGCATAAAGAATTAACCCTAAAAATTTTAAAATAAAATGAAGTGATCATGCAACTACTTCTGGATGATTTGATATGGATTGACCCGTAACATAAAACAATTACATTAAAATTACAAAATATTATCATAATAATATCAAGGATAGAATAATATAAGAGATAATAGGATATTTTATAGTAACTTTATCTAAAATGACCAAATCAATTTAATTTTCTTTTAATAGATAAACGATATCTTTACCTATCATTTGGTATATTTTTTTATAAATCTGAGCCTTTACCTGCCCACAGGGATAATTTAAAATGACAACTTTTTCACAAAAAATTAACTTTTTCAACTTAACTTTTGAGAGTTTTCCGGAAATACTGACACTTTTATATATAACTTAAATTAAAGATTATGTAATATACTTTAGTAAGAAAAAAAAATTTCGGACTTTATTTTCATCATGAAAACGGACATCAAAGTTAATAAAAAAGAAACCAGCACAGTGGGGACGTGGCATAGTTGAGTTAAGTATGATCTAACAGTGATTGAAATCACTATTATAAAAACGCTTCGATGCAAATCTGTAGATAGTGTTTAATTTTAAAAAATTGGTAGATTATTCAAAAGCTACATAATCTTCTATTTCCTTATTTATATCCGGATTACAAGTTTTATGATTTATAAGTGTAATATATAAATAAATATAAATAAAGGGAAATCGCGTAAAAGAAAAATATATATAATACTTATTATAAAAAAATTATAATGATTTATACATTTTTCAAAAAGTGTTATAAAGTTAAAAATATAAAAAAGAATTTTTTTACAAAAATCGTATTTTTTTATTAACTTTAATTTCCGAAATTTTTTTTTCCATATTAAAGTACGTATATTACATAAGCTTTAATTTAATATATAAATACAATTCTTAGTATTTCCGGAACACATTCAAAAATTAAGTTAAAAAAGTTCTTATTTCTATACGAATTTTTAAGTATGCTAAATGAAAGAAGTATATAAATATTAGCTTCGATGCGAAGCGGAGAAGGTATTAATTTTACTATGATGTGTTTTTTATTTTTTTTTATTTTTTTTTTTTTTATGTCTGTTGCCACTTTTTCTCAGCTCTCACTGGTTCTCACAGACCGATTTCTTTCAAAAATACGTCAAAAGATCACAAATCGTATCTAGTTGAAGACATTACCCTTAAAAATTGAAAAAAATTCCCTCGTTCCCCGCAAATGGGGGAAATATCCAAAAAAATTACAAATTTAAAAATCGCTAATTTTCGAAATTTTTTCACTTTTTTTTCTTAAAACTTCCATAACTTTTTGAAAAATCAACAAATCAACATAATTTTTTTTTATACTAAAACCTTAGATATTTACCTTTCATTTGATATCATTTTTTTGAAAATCTATCACTTAACCTGCTCATTGGGGGGGATTTAAAATGGCAACTTTTTTACAAAAATTAATTTTTTCAACTTAATTTTTGAAAATGTTCCGGAAAGACTGCGTCCTTTAAACATATATCAAATTAAAGCTTATTTTATGTACTACAAAATGAAAAAAAAAAATTTGTCCCGACACTTTTTTTTCTACATTTAAACGGCTGCCGTAGTTAAAAAAACACTATTTTTGTGTTAAAATTTTCGATTTTCGATTTTAAATTTTCAACTTAAAAATGCTATAACTTTTTGAAAAATGTATATATCAGCACAAATTTTTTTTTTCTAAATACATTATAAGTACATCTTTCATTTGACATACTTTTTATTAAAATTGGACAATTTCCCCTTATATAGGGGGCGTTCAAAACTTAAAATATTGTAAAAAACATAGATCTTTTTCAACTGAACTTTTGAAAATGTTCCGGAAATACTGCGTCCTTTAAACATATATCAAATCAAAGGTTATGTTATATACTATCAAATGAAAAAAAAAAATTTGTCCCGACATCTTATCTTCTATGTGCAAATGGCTGTCGAAAATTTAAAAAAAAATGTAATGTTTGCGATAAAAATTACATTTTATCGGGATGTTTTTTGTACTTAAAACTGCCATAACTTTTTCAAAAATGAACAAATAAAAATAATATTTTTTTGTATTGAAACCTTAGATATTTCCCTTTCATTTGATATAATTTTTTTGAAAATCTAACACTTATTCTGCTCACTGGGGAGGATTTAAAATAGTAACTTTTTTACAAAAAATAACTTTTTCAACTTAATTTTTGAAAATGTNCTTCTATGCGCAAATGGCTACCATATTCAAAAATATGCTATTTTAACAAATTTTTTTTTTTAAATTAAACACTATCTACAAGAAGTTGATGNAATTTTTTTTTTTAAATTAAACACTATCTACAGATTTGCATCGAAGCGTTTTTTATGATAGTGATTTTAAACACTGTCAGATATCATCTATACTGTACCCAACTATGCCACAGCCCCACTGTGCCGCCACCCCACTGTGCTGGGTTTTTTTTCAAATAAAACCATTTCCCTTTATACAGGATGATTCATTAAGGATAAGACACTCATTTACTCAGTAACTATTTTGAAAATTTGAAATTTTTGGTAAGGAAAATATTGTTTGATTCAAAAAACACTACAATAATATGTAGTAAAAACATGATATTTTTCATCCCTTCAAGGTTAAAAAACATTTACTTGAGTTTTTTTAAATGAGAAATTTATTTTGAATTTAATAAAATTTTTGAGTTTTTAATTTAATACTAAATGGCATTTGAATTTTTAATATAACTTTATTCGTTTATTAGATATAAACACTTAAAGTTTCAAATTTTTGAGTTAATATACATGTATAATACACTAGGGATTAAAATTACTGTTAGCTAATTGGTTTTTTATGACATCGATATTAGCAGGTACAAAGCATTGTTTTCATCAATGGTAGTAAGGCATAATGTTGTGAGTTTATAAATACACTAACTGACAATACAGAATGTATATCTATTGATAGTCATAATTGATAATGAACAATCCGTGACTGTGACAGCAATGTCATAAAAAACCAATTAGCTACCTGTATTTGTAATCCCTTGTGTATTATACATGTATATTAACTCAAAAATTTGAAACTTTAAGTTATTATATCTAATAAACGAATAAAGTTATATTAAAAAGTCAATCATTTTATTAAATTAAAAATATATGTTCCCATTTCAAAAACAAAGTTGACACACTTACAAGGTATAAGGAATGAACTTAAAAAGTATTACATAGTTAATAATTCAAGAATAATGTGAAATTAAAGATAATCATAGAAAAAAATGTTTAAATTATATTTATTTTGTAAGTAATTGAGTGGGTTAATAAAAAAGTTATTCTGTATATATATTTATATATCACACTTATAAATCATAAAACTTATAATCAGGATATAAATAAGAAAATAGAAGATTATGTAGCTTTGGAATAATCTACCAATTTTTTAAAATTAAAATCTATCTACAGATTTGCATCAAAGGGTTTTTTATGATAATGATTTTAATCACTGTCAAATATCATCTATACTGGACCCAACTATGCCACATCCTCACTATGCCGCGACTCCATTGTGCTGGGTTTTTATTTTTAAAATTGATGGAGTTTTTCAAATTTTTGATATGTTCAACAAGAATAAATTCTGGTTATTTTGGTACATAGATCTACAAAATTAATTTAGTAGAAACTGAAACTTATTACGGACAGACATAAAAAACTAACACATATTAATAAAATTAGAACCTTTTCAGCTTCACATCGAAACTAACAAAATTATACAATGTCCAATTAAATGGATTGGATATCATTATATTGGCTTAATCGACGATATGATGATAATATTACTTTATTTTTCACCCCGGTATATGCGTTTAATCAGGCAACGACAATTTTCATTAAAAAAATCCTGTATCTATGACCAGTAAATAGTGTGTAATAAATTATATCTAATTAAATTTCTACAAATTTTAAAATTCTCAAGAAATTTAACTGCAAAATATTATAAAGAGATATTATACCAAATTATTTCTTATAATCTTCTGTATAAAATGGCTTTCTTGAATTTTTTAAACATTTCTAGTATTATTTTAAAAAAATTGTATGATATCATTATAGTCCTAAGCTTTAATAAGTCATACAATAAAAAAGTAATAAAAAATATTCAGTAGGTCAAAAGTAATAGGATTGATCATATTATGATAGTCACTTTATACAATGTATAGTGAGTATAATAATGTATAGTATACATTATATAATATTTAAAAAGAATATTTTAATTGAGTTTTTTAAATATCTAAAACAAATTCCATAGGAATGTATGTTATCTAATATTTTAACAATCGTTTTCTTTTTTAGAATATATTTTGAAACAGTATAATTATTGTAATTTGTATGATAATTATAAAAAAAATATTGATGAAACTGAAAGTTCTGTAGAGATCGATAAAAACGATGATTTTGTATTTGATGTAGAAGATGTGGTTGTAGATCTTTACACAGAAATTGTGGACAATAAGTACACTACAAATAAAAAATGTGAATATGCAATAAATGCAAAGCCAAGAGACCAATTTAAAAGTATGCCGAAATACATAAAGGATTATTTACTTTTTGATTAAAAGTCATAATTATTAACAATTTTTTCCTGTATTTAATTTATAGATTATGATAAATCACATTTTATTAAATAAATATTTCACCCCTAATATGCAAACAACTTTTTTTATAAAAAAAATTATTCTTCTACCAACATCCCTTACATCTTACACTTAAAAAAGCTTTTGATTTTCGAAATTGCTACTTTATTTATTTTTTTTCATTAGATTCATTCAATTTAAAAAAATGATTCGTTTTTCAACGAGTTATAGCTGTTTATAGTTAAGGAGCGATCAGAAAAAACGATTTACACAATTCCCAAATCTATCAACGCTACCGTCATGATAACTGTACATCGTAACATACTATTATGAACCTATACTACTTATCAATTTACAACCCCAAAAAGATGTTTTTTAAAACATATTTAAAAAATAATTACGTTTTTTTCTGATCGCCCCTAAATATTAAACAGCCGTTATTGAAAATTGAATAAAATAATATAATCTTTTAAGATTTTAATTAATAAAAATGATTATTTTTTCAATTGAATAAATGTGATGTAACAAAACAATTTATTACAGAGTAATAAAGTTTTGAAGTTAATATTTATATACTTTTGTTCCTTAGCATTTCCCAAAGGCATGTCAAATGTGTGTTTTTTATTTAATAGATAATTATGTTTAGAAACCTGTTCTATAACATGTATTTGAACATAGATATTTTTAAATTGATATTTCTATATGCACAAAAATCTTTACTTAAGAATTAAACAGGGCAATTGAAGTATAATAAACTACTATTATTTTATTTTCTGAAATAATAATTATTTTGAGAAATGTATTTTTACTAATTTGATTAGAATTTATTTCTCAATTTACGCGAGGTTAAATGTTTATTAGTCCATCAGTAATTCCTTATAAGGGTACTAACTTATTTTTTAATTGAAATATACACATTTTAATTGATTAAACGTTAGAAAAAGATTCCATTAAAATACCTGGTCGATAACAACTTTTAAACCAGATTTTATTCTTTGAAGTTATTAACATTTTTATACTTAGGTGTGAAGAGGACACACCTAAGTACATATTATTGTACATATTATGACGATGCATAATATGTACAATGTGTTAATCATGTATAAAAATAAAAAACAAAACCCGCATCTCGCCTCCAGTCTACATTTAATAATGTTGATAACTTTTTACGTTGGTGCGAGAATTTTTATCGTATAGTCTTTTTTTTAATTGGATCATTTCCAACTACATGAACTAGTTATACATGTATATTATAATTAAAAAAAACTAAATTCTTAAACATATAAGGGATAAAAGATAAATAGTAAAAATATTGAATGACTTATAAATCAATCAAGTAATACTATTAAAAGAAAACGACAATTTTAAAAAAATGGTTTTATCGACATTGGTTTTATTGGTAGAGACCAGCAGGTCGTTAATTATTGTTGAGCAACAATAGGTTATTTTGCACGAAAAAGACGGACACAAAATGTTCCAATAATACCGCGGCACTTTCGCTGGCGTCGGCAACACGGTGTCCCGCGACGTCAAAATATTGACAGCGACGGCGGTCTGGTGCGGATCGGTTCGTCAAATCCGGTCGTACGACACGTCCGGAACGGACGGCGCACGACCTAGACGTCGTCACTTTGACGACGGGAAAAAGACTCAACGTACCGTTTGCGGCGGCTCGTCGTCGGCCGCACGGCACTTGCTCGACTTTGCACCGTGGCGCATGGAACGCGATGACTCAAATTACCGAATACAAATTATAGGGCGACGGCTGATAAAGATGGCGCTGGTCGCGAGACGTCGTGTATCGCGAGACCGTTTCAATATTATCCAATTTTACCAACCATTTCAATGATTCTAAGTTACTATGATAAAATCATTTGGATTTTAATTGTATTTTCTTGTTTATCATATTCTATATCAAGGATTTTAAACGTAACAAACTTTAAATGATTGGGCATCTAGAGAAAAATATGGCCTTAGTTTATTTATTTTTTACTATCATGATTGGTGGAATTTAAAAATAACCTTTTGGAAGCCACAAAAATAAATAAAAATCACAACTTGATTTCTAATAAAATTTTCTTTCAAATCTTATAATAACTTGATTTTAATTAAACAATGAAGTTTTTCCATTTAATTTTTAAATCGTAATTTCCAAATTTAAGAAAAAATACTTAATAAATAAATATATATGCATTGGATATTGTGCAGAGACTATGGATAGCTTTTAATTGAGTGTGTATACTATAACAGTGTACACAAAAGTTGAATTATTGTGAAGGATTTTATCTGCCGTTGTTCATATTAGATAGTTTCAATTATAACAACGTGAATACATCATTTTTTGATTAATATATTTTTAAAAGACGCAGTAATTCCAGAACATTTTCAAAAATTTAAGTGTTAATTATAATTATTATAAGGGAAAACTTTTAGAGCTTTTAATGTCCATCTAATGAGCATATTATACTATATTGTATATTAGAATAGTATATTATTAGGGGTCGCCCTATTCAAAAAAATTATTCCAGTTATTAATGGCTCATGGTAAATTACAATTTCAACTTTATAATAAGTTGACGAGAATTAATAATCAAGAAATATTACCGAAGCAAAAATTTTAACAAATTATATGAATCTGCATGGTAGCGTTTTATTATATTAATTATAATAATTTTGATATTCAAACTAAAATTAAAAAACTAAAAATTAATTTTTTATAAATGATGTAATGATATTTTGGTTTTATCAAAACTATTGGGTAAACATAATATATTTCTAAATTTAATTGTTGTGGACATTCGGTTGTAAATGCTTCGAACGCGACCTGCAACAGGTCACACCGTAAGGGTTGTACAGAACAGGCTTCAGAATATTCCTTTCATTCTTAAAAATGCTTTTTCCAGATACGTCTGGACTGTACTGGAATACAGGTCATGTTTTATTATTATTTGATATAGTTATGGTTGTCGTATGTTATTATAATTGATATAATTTAATATAATTGGTACATGGAAGATTGTTCTTTTTTTGGAATTTATCCTAAATTAAATAAAAAATAATACGTACACAGTCGATAGCGTCAGACTCGGTATATATATTTTATGAGAAGCGTCAAGTCAGACATATCTGTTGATTACATGTATAAATTTTATTAATTTAATATACAGAGTGATCAACTTCTGGTAAGACACTCATTTTCTCAGAAAATATTGAGAATTTAAAATTTTATTATAGAGAAAAAATATCAAGTTCATAATACTCTACAATAATATGTAGTCAAACCATTATTTTTTCGTCCCTTCAAGGATAAAAACCCTAATTTATAATTTTCTTAAATGGGAATCCTTATTTTTAATTTTACAATATGATAGAAAAATAGATTACAAACAATTTTGTTCTTATAATATTTTTTATCTGATAAACCATTCGTCCGTTACAACTTTTTAAAGTTAAGTGATTTTAGACCAAATTTCTATTGTCATTTTACTATATTAAAAACAGTAGTCATAATTTTTATTTGCTGTTGGATAAACCAAATTTTATTGATCAAGTTATGACAGGTAAATTAGCTATAAAAATTTACTACGCACTAAATTAGTGATAACAATAATAGATTCAAACCGGGTTTTCGGTGTATTATTAATAGCTAAGTCTATGGTTTTGTAAGACTAAAGGATCTAACAAAAATATCGGTTGCACTACCACCGATATTATGAAACGTAATAAATGACAATATTTTTTCTGGAAGTCAAAATCTTTAAACAATTATAAAACGTAAACGGTTGTTTGGATAAAAAAAATTATAAGAACAAAATTGTTTGTAATTTTTTTTTCTATCATATTATCAAATCAAAAATAGTGGTTCCCATTTAAAAAAATTATAAATAAACATTTTTATCCCTGAAGAAATAAAAAAAAATTATTTAACTTCATATTATTGTAGAGTTTTATAAACTTAATAATTTTTCTTTTTACAAACATTTTAAATTCTCAATAGTTTCTGAGAAAATAAGTGTCTTACCAGATTTCGATCACTCTGTATATTGTTTGAACTAGTAATGTAAAATTACCGTAATAATCTTTTTCAAGAATATTTTCAACATACGATAATATTATTTTTAATTAATTTATATTTTTTATTAAGCTAATGTGGATGGGATTTATCCTAGATAAAATCAAAAAATAATAAATACACACTTGATAGCGTCGAGATCGACTGGTTTGTAATTTTTGTACTTTAAGACAAGTTGCATTGTCTGTTTACATTTAGTGAAGAATAACAAACCTAACCAGAATTAATCTACAAAGTTGTGTTAGGTCAGACTTGACTGCTTATTGAATTTATAATATTTAGTGATATAATAATCTTTTGTTGTAACTGTTTTACTATACAATTCATAAATCAAAAAATATATCAAAATAAAATATTAAATGAAAGGGAAATGTCTAAAGTTTTAATAAAAAAAATAATTATTTTGATTCATTCAAATGTGTAGATAGTGTTTAATTATAAGAAATTTTAAGCAACATCAACTTCTATTTCTTAATTATTCCAGATTTGTAGTTCTTTTATTTATATGTATAATATATATAAAATAATAAAAACCCAGCTCAGGGGGGTCGCGGCACAGTGATGACGTGGCATAGTTGGATCAAGTATAATGATATCTGACAGTGATTAAAATCACTATCATTAAAAACGCTTCGATGCAAATCTTTAGATAGTGTTTAATTTTAAAAATTGATGGATTATTACAAAAGCTATTCATGATCTGCTATTTCCTTATTCATATCCTGATTAATATAAAGTATGTCGAATAAAAAAGGGATATAAATATTATTTTTCATGAAAAAATTGTATTGATCCATACATTTTTCAAAAAGTTATAGCATAATAAAGTTAAAAATGTAAAAAATAAAATCCAGAATTTTCACACAAAAATAGCATTTAGTAGCCATTTTCACTGAGAAGACAAAATAAAGTCCGAATTTTTTTTTTTCCAATATAAAGTACATTATATTATCTTTAATTTAAGATTAATAAAAGTTTCAGATTTTCATGCATATATAAAAAAAAATTATATTGATCTATACATTTTTCATAAAGTTATAGCATTAAAAAGTTAAAAATATAAAAAAGAATTTTTTTACAAAAATTGTATTTTTTTGATTAACTTTGATGTCTATTTTCACCGTAAAGACAAAATAAAGTCCAAAATTTTTTTTTCCATAATAAAGTACATTAAATTTGCTTTTATTTAAGATATATTTAAAAGTGTCAGACTTTCTGGAACACTTTCAAAAGTTAATTTTTTGTGAAAAAGTTGTCACGGCGAACGAGGGAAATTTTTTAATTTTTGAGGGTAATTCCTTTGACTAGATACGATTTGTGATCTTTTGACGTTAAAAAAAATTGGTTCAGTGAGAGCTAAGAAAAAGTGGTAACAGACACAAAAAAAAAATATTTACACATCATAGTAAAATAAATACCTTCTCAGCTTCGTGTTGAAGCTATAAAAATTAGTTTTCTTAATTTGATCACTATGACCATAGTGAGTTTATTATTTTTTCAATTATGAAATTAAAATAGTTATTTATCACAAGCCCTAGGTTGAACATTATTTTTTGAAGGCAGTCCCTTTCTTTTAATATACATAATGGATTGACACTAAAAGCTGCTGAAAATATTCATAACAACCACTTATTATTATTATTTTTATTATTTTGTAAAAGGATGGATAAAATTGGGGTACATATCTCCCCATCTATATGACTATAGTGTTTGATCTAAAATGTGTCCATAAATAATTGACAAAAAAATTGATCTTAAAAAATGATAACACAAAAATTATGATGTTTTTACATAAATTATTTTAACATTTTATGTTAATAATGTGGATGCCGATTACATATAAAGAATAAGTTATCTGTTTAATTTTTTTTTTTTTTTATCTTATATTACATAATATGAGCTTTAATTTAATATATGTTTAAAACTAGTAGTATTGTCGGAATATTTTCAAAATTTAAGTTAAAAAAGTTAAAATTTTGTGCAATCGATGTTATATAAAAGAATATAATAAGAAGGTTCAGATTTTGTTTTGATGAATGACAGATATGGGTTTTTGAAGAACACTCTAAGATTAAGTTATTTATATAGCAAACATCTTTTCGCTGTGATGAGAGCTTGTGTATAAAGATCTTTATTTATATCAATTTAAGCATGTTTTATAGGTATGTGCTGAAAGAAATACCACCCGAGAGAACGATGTAATTGTGTTTATTGGCTGGAGATTGAACAATGTTTATGTACCACGTAGCATGAGAAGATGGAATTTAATTCAAAGAGATGTACTGTGACTATATAGGTGACTTTGAGGAGAACACAAAAATTTGGCCAAGGTATGAGTGTAGCAGAATGTCGAAATGATAAGGAGATTTATTTAGCCAGTTTGTTAGCTGCTTCATTACTATAAATTCCAGTATGACCTAGTAATCATAAAAATTGGATTGAGTATTCTACACAAAGATCTAAAGAGCACAAAAAACCATATAATACAAAGTATAAGTGACATAGAAGAAGAAAAAAAAATAAAGTTTAAAGCTTTATAAACATGACACAAAATTGGTGTTAATGAAAAAAGATTTATAAGAATGAGTAGATATTAGTAAAAGAGATTCATTTATGAATAGCATTGAGTAGTTAAAAAATAGGTACAGAAAGGAAAGTGTATAAAAGGGAAATATGCAAAATAGGGATGAAAAATTAGGGATTTGTAAAAAATGGTATAACCTGTACAAATAGTAATATATTTATCATAAAACACTCAAATAATGAACAAATAAAAATAAAATTGAAAATTCTTTTTTTTTTATCGTTTGAGTATATTTAATAATCAACATTATATTTATACATTTCAAATTTCATTTGAAAGTGTTAAAAATACATTTTGTTGTATTAAAAGTCGAATAAGATTATACAAATTTTAATGTTGATGTGTTTTTTATAGAGGTCATTTAAAAAAAACATTTTTTTAGAAGTAAGGATATCTATTCTAAATAAAATGGCTTCTGAAGTATTTTCCTATACCAATATTTCAGTTATTATAAGCTGAAAGTTTAGATTTAAGTGGAGCCATAATATCATTCAAGGCGTAAAAAACATAAGACAACTCATGTTACAGATGGAGATTTAGTAGACATTGAACAAATAGGTAGCTAATATTAGTTTCAATATTAGGTACAAACAATTTGATATATGGTGGGAGAATTTAAAGCATATTAAAAAAAAAATTGTAAAAATAACAAAAATAACTTTTCACAGATTAATAAACCTTATTATTTATTCAACATTTATAAATATTTTTAATAATTAAAAATAAAATAAAAATTTAATAAAAAGAAACAATAATATTTTAAAACGCAATTGAGTTTAATTTATTACATTTGTAGATTGGTGGCTAGAATGAGATGGCCATTAATCTTCATCTGCTGGATTCGCTAAATTATCCTAACGACTGGCAAATTTAATAGCTATTTAGTTGTTCAAGAAGAATAGAAAAAGAGGTAGGTAGAATAGATTATTGAGGGTTGAACAGGAATAGTATTAAATTAATAAATATTATTCGTACGCTCAAATTTATGTTTATTTTATACATATTATATAAATTAAATTTAGTATGACATTAATATTTAATATTTTGTAATTTTTATAAAGAAATTATAAAAAGTTATAAAGCAGTTGTATCATTTGTTACCTCTATAACAAATGTGTATCAAAAGTGTAATTATTAATCAAAATGAAAAGAAAATAAAGTTAATTTTTTAATTCGATTATTCTGAATTTCATTAGTTAATTATGCATTCAATCATGAAATACAATTTTTGAGACATTTTTGGAGTACTTGTAAGGGGTAGAAGTCATGACAAAATTATATTATTCACACAATAATAACAATAACAAAAATATATAAAATGGCAAAAAATTACAAATAACACGCCGTGAGATAAAATACAATAATTATATATATAGGTATAATTATAATTACAAAATAAATGAGAATTTGCAATAATTATTTTGTGAAATGAACTCGATAAAAAAACAAGTAAAACAAATATTTAATGTAAATACATTTAAGATTTAGTAAAAATATATATTTAACGATTATTGCAAAAATTTGTTGAAAAAATAACTAGTAATTAATAAATTTGTAAAATTAAAAAAAAAAAAAAATATGACAATTAGTTTAAATCATTAAAAAGTAGATAATCTTTTATATATTCCGGTCTGTTTTTAGATTGACTCTCTAGACTTGTACATGAGACAAATTCCACCTTTTGATTTGTAGTTTCACTACTTTCTACGATTTCTGTGTAAAGATTGTTGACCATTTCTTCCACGTCAAAAACAAATTCATCTTTTTTATCTACCTCGTTCTTTGTTTCTCTTTGAATATCAATTTCATTATTCTGGCTAATTAAATTTGTATAACTGCTCTGGTTGCAAATATATTCTATAAAAATTAAAGAATTATGTAAACAGTGATTAAATTTATATGTATATACAGGTAATTCCATTTATTACATACACCTTTATAATTTTTGATATAATTAAAATTTCTGACTAGTCTGTTGGACTATTTTTAGTTCTATAAATTTTTTTATTTTTAAATCCGTCTTTTCATCTATCAATCAGATACTTGTTTCTACTAACCAACATCAGTTGAACTGGTGTATAGAAGGGGAAGATTAAATGCAGTATTTTCCGTTGCCCTCTACATTAGAAACACACTGCTTTTTGCTAATGTAAAAATAATAACTGTAAACTATCTATAAGACAAGAAGGCGTGGATTAGAACTAAAATTTATTATCAATTATTGAGTCCAATAAAATTAATACATAAGTAAATAATTAAATAAAAAAATTGACTTAAGATTAATTTTATAGAAATAAATTTTTATGATAATTTTTTTATTTTTACTATTTTGTAACACCATTTCTCAATTTTCATTGAAATAGTAATCAATTTATTCAATATAAACTACATTTGATATCATCTGGATACAACTTAGAATCTCTAACGGAGCATAGTATAATAACCTTATTTTGTCGACACCGATTAAACACAGGAATTATTTAGAGAAAATTGACACAATTAAAAATTTTTGAACATCGAAACAAAAATTTTAATTTAGATATATGGATATGGAAAGAAACACAACAAAAAGCTTTTGATGAATCATAAGAAGCATTTTTAATAGACGTAAAATTTTATTTTCGAGTTTTCAAAGCTTATGTTTTTAAGTATGAAAATTTAGCAATAGGTTATTAGGTTAGCAATATTCAAAAAAATTGAACAATCTAAAATAAAAGCAGAAACAAGATACACAACCACAAAAATTGAATCACTGACAGTAGTATTCTGTTGTAATAAATTTATATAGTTCTTGATAGAAATTAATTTCATAGTCTTAACTAAGCATCATACGTTGAAATAAACAAAATTAATGGGTGTACGATTAATTTAAAGGACATTGGCTAGCTAGATAAACAGAAAAAAATAGTACAAGTACTTTCAGTGATAAATATGGAGAATATCTGCATGACTATGACAAAATAGGAAGCAGTGAATAGAAAACGCAAGCAAATATCAGAATTCTCCCAGAAAGGCATAAGGATATGCTGTTAACAGTGGTGGTGGCAGTCAATAAAAAATAGAAACATAGAAACATAAAAATAAACACTCAAAATGCAGTTTAAAAAAGAATCGTCAAAAAATAGTTTAATAACGGAGATTATCCAACACTCTAAAATTTAAATGGTCAGAATTTTTATAAAAAAACAAGAAATGAAAAAAATTTTAAATAATAACAGCTGGTAGACTGGAGACTGATTACGCAAAGGACAGTACACTTTATATAGTGTCTTCTTGGTTTAATGCTTTCTTCAAAAAGCACATTTGAAGAAAGACGCATAATATACTTAACGATGAAATACCAGTATGTTATTTATGTAACAATCAATTAAACAGGGCAATATTCAAGGCGGCCATTGAAAGGAAAAATAAATAGTTAAAAATAACAAAGAAGTAATGAAGATAACAAAAAGGTTTTAGAAAATAAAATAAAAATATAAAACGTTTCTTAACTCTAAAAAAACAATATAAATATAATCAGTTATAAAAACTAAAACTTGAACGTTTTAATTCAACATTTGAACCATCTACAAATTTCAGCAATCTAATAAAAAATCTTTAAAAGAACTATAACGAAATGGATTTTGTCAATACCGACAAAACTGAGAAAAATACAAAAATAGAATTAAAAAAATTATGCCATCATAATGAAAAAGCTATAAGTAAATATAAAATATGTTTAATGTAATTGTTTGTTACATTATAATTCAAACATATTTACAAAGCAAATGACTAGGTTTTAAGTGATCATCTAAAAATTTTACTTAAAATTTTCAAGTTGCTTTGATAACTTACCAATAATGTCATCACGAATAAAACACTTTTTTCCTCCGACATATAAAAATGAAAAAAAATAAGTTCCATGCACAATTAAAAATAGTTGCTCAAATTTTTTTAATTCTGTTATGTATGCTGTGACTTTTTGAGAATATTTTTCGATTATTGAAAATAACGAATCGAAATTGGATCCATAGATTTTGTTAGAGATATTTGTATCAATTGTACAGTGTAATTTATTACCCCTTAAAAAAGAATGCACTTTGCCAATAACATTTTTTAATATGTAACTATTGTTTATTATCTTAAGTTTATAGCGATCATGAACAATTTTGAAAACGTCGATTATTGTTTTTAGCAACTTTGCTGGAGCTTCCTTAATAATTGTAAGATGCATCAAAAGATCTAAATTGTTAACGATTTCTTCACTGACCTTAACTAAATTATCAAAATTTACTTCATTTCTTTCTATATGTCCTAAATTAAAGGACATCAATAATTTTTCAGCAAATAAACCAAAAGTTCGTACAAGTGCGACTAAAGGTTTTATAGATGCAGCCATTACTAATTCTTGAAATATATGCATACTATGAGCATCAAAACTGTACAACATATATTGAAAAACATCCGTTATATTTAAATATGAATTATTAGGACACTTAATATTAAGATTTGCATATCTCAATAAATCTAATTTTTTATTACTTTTCATTAATGTAAATTTTTGACCGTTTATCGTTAAAGGTCTGTAGTCTACGTCATGATTCAATAAATCAAAAAATAGCAAGTTCTTAGGATCGAAGTCATTATATTTTTTTGAATTGAGAGATGTGAATAGCGCATTGAAAATATCATTGCTATTAATCATATTATTAGTATAATAGTTTGTAAATCGGTTTTTTAGTTTTTCTGAAATTTTTGGCAAATCTTTAATGTTATATATTCCTGATTTATTATAGTCGGGACATTTTATAAAATCTTCATCAACAGTCACATTTGTGCATTTATTGTTAATATATTCATTTAGTTCGTCAACTATTGTTCTATGATGTAATTGATAACCTCTGAGAACGTTCGAAAGATTTCGATTATATTTTCCAGAGCAATTTCTAGTTATAAAATTTAATGAACCTGAAATATTGTTTATGTATAAATTAATAGCCATTAAATCATTTGATGCTGATATTTTCTTGAATGACCTTAATGAATCCAACATTGCCATAATAATTTCACCGTGTGTTTTTAAAGCTGCACCATAAGTATTTAAGTCTTCCAGTTCAACTGATTGAATATTATCTTTTTTTTCAAGATTTAATAAATATTTTTCATTGTGATTAAAGAAATTTAACATGTATTTTGAAAAGTTGCAGTGAAGTTCTACATGAGACAATCCAATACAAAAACTTATTGATTTTAAATGTATGATTAAGGTAATTAAATTCATACTTAATGTTTTCATAAGTTTAAAATACATTTTTTTTTACAAAATGTTTTAGCTTATCTGTGAAATATATGTACAGTAATAAACTGTTTTATTAAATTTGTTATGTCAAATATAACTTAATATATTCGTTTTAATTATACTTATTAATATAAATTTCCAAATGTTTTTAGTTAATCACATACCAAAAATATGCTGTTGTTTAAAGTGCAAAATAAATAACTTTTTAAATAATTTTTTCTATGTTTATCCAATAAGTTTATATTGATCATTCAGCCAGTTTAGATATATAGCTGAAAGTTATTAATATATTAATTTTACATTTTATTAATAAACGCAAGACTACTATATTTTAAGATGTGCCTATATTGTGCATACATATAACTTTAAGTTTGTGTACTACTAAAATTGCAGTATTAAATTTATGCTATATACATAAGTCTCCTTATGGCACACAATATGTAGTTATAAAAATTTCATAGCCTTAAACATTGCTATGCGAATACTATTGAGTCCTGATTATATTTCATTAAAACATGATTCAAATAATTTATTAGATTATTTTGTAAAATAATTTGAGCAAATTTATGGGTTAGTGAACATATCCCCAAATGTACATAGTATACTCTATATTGTAGCTGTCTAAAATATATATGGCCCTCTTGACATCTGCAGTATCTTTATGTTTGAAACTTATATGAAAGTACTTAAAGGTATGCTACAAAAACCTGATAAGCCTTTAGAGCAGTTTGTTAAATTGTACGCTGAAGGTGAAAATTTTAACTTAAATGCGCATAAAAATGTTATTATTGACAAATTAATAGGTCAACATTTAAGAGGGCACCTTATTGAAAATATCACTATTACTCCTCAGCATAATATCTTAAATTTTAATAATTACAAGATTTTTATTCTTTAATTCCTATCACTAATAATGAACAATTAACTTTTTTTGAAAAATACCTGTTAAATACAACTTATAGGCAGTGTGTTGTGAGTTTTTCTACTAGAAACCACTGTTTTTTTTGAAAATTTAAAACCATTGAAAATTTATTTGGTTCGTGTTAATTTCAGGCCAACTATAATATAAATATAAAAAAATATAATGAATTAAATATAATGCAACTTATAAGTTTCATTATAGTTTATTTTATGTTGTTATTAAAAATGTTATCTTTTATATATATATATATATATATANTAAAAATCGATTTTAACAATTTAAATTTTTTAATATTTAGCATATTTTAAAATTTATGTTTAGTAGAGTCATTTAAAATGGCTTCAATATCAAAATTTTGGCCAACTTGCAAGTAGGGTAAATATTAAAATTAAAGCAATGCCGTAATTAAGAATTGTTTTTGTGATTCAAACCCACCAAATATTTTTCAGTTAAAAAACTATAAATAGTGTTACAGAAAATAATTTATACTTATTAGGATATAACTATTAAAAAAATATAACATTACATTTATGTATTTTAACATCATTTTGTAATCTGAGAATATATGAAAAATATAATAACATTATATTATTTTAAAAAATATAATGTTATAATATTACTTTTAAAATATTATAAGAACATTAATTATAAAATGGTATAACAACGCGATTTTTGTGCCCAAAAAACATTATTATAATGTTATTTTAATATTATTTTGCTATCTGGGTATTTCAAGGATAAATTAATTGCTATAAATTATTTATGTCTTGTCATTTATATCTAAAACATTTGAATGTTGACCATAAAACATCAAACATTAACATATACATTTATCATTTGGTTTTTAATGATATTGGAAGATATTTAAATATATAAGAAATATTATTTTGTTTTCTGAGATTCCAAATACATTTCATTATGTTTAATATAAATTTCACGTAATTAAAAAATTGTACACTCGTAGTGATAATTCAGTAGAACAATTATAAAAACTAAAATAAATCATTAATTTATAATTTTTCATATTGATCCACTCGTTTAAAACAAAATTTTAATCCAAGTTCAAATTAAATTTTATCGTATTGCACAGATGTGTAAATACAAGTTTTTAATTCAATTAAATACATATATAAAATATAACTATATTTTATAGTGTCATTATTTTTATAATATATGAAGTAGAAGAATAGTTTTTAATTTCATAAACTTTTTTTTAAATAAAAAAATGATATTTTCACGATATTATGTAATATGTTTATATTAAATTTTTGAGTACTTTTTAACATAAAACTAACTACAATATAGAAATTCAATTCATAAATTTTTAAGATTTTCAATATTTTATTATATAATAAGTTACATGTATATTATACAATACTATGAATATATTATACCTAAATATGATAAAAAAATAATAGCATTTAGATTTTATAAATGTAATTATGCTTAATTCCAAAATCTTTGTTTCGCAAAAATACATTTAGATTAATCACGATTGTACATAGTTAAAAAAATCACATAAAAAATAATTTATTCGTTTTTTCGGGTATAGAATATTTTTCATAAGTCGATCAAACCAGTTAATTGCGCCTAAAATTATACTTACACTTATACTAGTTGGTGGTTTGATACAGGACGAATATCGGGCGCTCATTGCATATTTAAAAATGTATAGTTATAAACTCATTCTTTAAACAAATTAACAATAATATATCACATAAGGATTGTAGAATGAATTAAATATCTTCTATTAAAACTCTTAGAATTACCCAGTTATTGATTTTTAATCAGTTGGTAAATTGTTCATTGAATTTGTATTAAACACAAATTGGTACAATTAATATTTGATACAATTAAATTTACATTTTCTTTGGAATATGTAAATTCATTAAAACAAATGGAAAAATTTTTTATCCGAGTATGCATAATGTGATGATTATGTAATGAATGTATTCTTACTATTTATATGTAAAACTGAATATGTTCAGTGCCTTATAATTTCTTTATAAATTACCTTTCGGAGAGTGTTTTAGAGGGCCCATCGAAATCATATTTTTTTCATTTAATTCAGTATCTATTTTGAGATTATAATTCGAAAATAAACATGACAATATTATTTTTGTATAAAAATTCACGTGCAAAAAATGTATTGCGTTTTGTTTTTGGCAATAAATACAACACGTTGAGCAAAACCTGATACATTTTTTAGCTTTAAATAGAGACTTAGCTCTTGTATTTGTTGGTTCACACTTTTGTCGATACTATTAGAATCTATTTATTTCATATTTTGTTACCAATAAATTTTATCATGCAGATGTTGAGTAACAAATTATGTTATTTTTAAACTGTATAACAATATAATATATTAATTTAATTTAATTTTTATACAAAAACTGAAATTTATAAAATTTTATTACTACAATGCTAAGAAAATAGGCTATAAAAAAATACATTTTATCTTATTTGGTATTTTTTATTAACCAACCCATCCTAACCTTCCAATTAAATTGACTGCATTGTACACTATAAAAAACAATATATGATAATCAGAAAAGAACAAGTAAAAAATATTAAACATGACACGGTACCACCGTATATTTTGCGATACATACAATATATACGGTAACTTTGGCTCTTTCATCAGCTCTCTTATTACATGACGAGCTCAGCTCGATTAGAGTACCACCGCTATCCAAAATCGTGCAAAGTCAGTCTACTGAAGCACGATCAATCAACGAACGCTATGTCTTATTTCTGATATCTTACGAGTGCTTACACTATACACCACCTTACTTCTTTTTCTTAGATCGCACAGTATTTTATATATTATCCAAATAGTACAAAGTTATGTGTATATTTATTTTATAGATTATAAAAATATCAAGTTTATTATAGGAAAAAATTATTTCTAAGGGTACATTACTATTTGAGATATTAGCATTCATAGATTTAAAAAGAGCGAGGAGAGGGGTAGTGTTTAGTGACATATGTTTTATCATGACCACAGCTAAGAATTCTTTAACATTCCGTACATCCCTCGCATATAACTAAAAAGTACATTAACTCAAATAGTAATAATAAATGTAGTTATCGACCAATCAAAATTTCAATTACATCATTATTCATTTAATATTATAATAGGATCTCATTTAACTTTTGACAATACCTTTAAAATCTACTATTAGAAATAATTTTTTCTTGCGATATACTTGATATTTAATGTTTGGTACAGAACACCTTTAGCAAAGACCTATTGGACTAGTTGTTACAAACACCGTTGATTATATTACATCGTGTGATAGCTGATCTCTAGCGTCTTTGCTATACTCATCCCCTTGCCCACCCAGCACGGCAAATGGATGACCTCCGTGTTAATTGTCATCTGTGGACAGTTCATCGTCATATGTAAGTGAGTCAATTGTTATACGTGTCATTCTTTTTTGTATCAAGCGCCTTTTCTTGAATAGCAAATTGTTTGGCAATTGTTATTCTTATTGCTGTTTATTGCATCCTTGTGTTCAAAGTTCTCGTGTCCTTGCACGCCACCTGTGATTGGGCCCTGACCATCATTAAATAACTTAATTTCCGTAGTCGCTTTTCCGCCATCTGTATTCATCTGCCATTACTTGTCTGGATCTACACTCTGACTCTTGATACTCAGATGTTCGACTCCATTACTACAAGATCTTATACAGTCCGCTCATCATTATCGACAACTTCATCTATTCAGCTGAGTTTTTATATTGTTTTTTAATGCTATTTATTAATTGATTTAATTAATTTTATCTACTATTAAGACGCTTCGCCGACATTAGTATTTAAGGGCTCCCTGTTACCCTTAGATTTAAGATACTCTTTGAAGAACTTCTAATATATGTAGTTATTTGTTATTTTATTATTTTCTACTCTCGTTACTTATTGGTGTGCAGTTAGCCGTTATCAACAGGCTTAAGATAAAACTGCATTCTAGTGCGGTGCACAACTAGCCGTCCTACGTTCTAGCTGCCTCGCATGAAACATTTAAAATGATTAATAAAAATAAATCAGATTTTAAATTGTACATTTTTACGAGAAAAACAATATTTAACAGAAAATGGGTAGTAACATTCTTTAAAAATCATACTGTACATAATATTTTCACATTTGTGTTTATACAGTTAGTTATCTATGTGTTTTAAATTTTATTCCATTCGTTCAGACAGATTACTACCTATATTGTTTTTCCTCGATATAATATAATTCAGACAAAAAACCACCAACGTTAACTAACACGCGTAAGTGCCCCCAAAAGCTGCATTCATATGCTCTCTTAAAAGTATATTTTTGATATTTAATTTATTATGAACATGTGTAAAATTTATAAGAATAGGTATTATTGAATTAAGTTATATTTGATAAAAATAAGTTATTATTAAAGCAAAATAATGATAATTTATTCTTTTCGATAAATCTACAGTTCGTCTAATAATAATTTATTTGGAAATAATGTTAGTATACTTTGTCAAAGTTTATACACGTATTCAAAATCATAAATTATTAAGTTTGCTTGATTTATTACAAATGTATAATAAATTTACTAAAAATAACGATAGAATAAAACTATATTTAAAAAACATACCACACACTGTATTTAAATTCCACAGATAAGCTAAAGCATTACGTAAAAAAAATGTATTTTAAACTTATGAAAACGTCGAGTATGAATGTAATTACCTTAATCATACATTTAAAATCGATAAGTTTTTGTATTGGATTGTCTCATGTAGAACTTCACTGCAACTTTTCAAAATACATGTTAAATTTCTTTAATCACAATGAAAAATATTTATTAAATATTGAAAAAAGAAACAATATTCAACCAGTTCAATTGGAAGACTTAAATACTTATGGTGCAGCTTTAAAAACACACGGTAAAATCATCATGGCTATGTTAGATGCATTAAGGACATTCACTACAAAATCAATAGCAAATGATTTGATGGCTATTAATTTATACATAAACAATATTTCAGGTTCATTAAATTTTATAACTAGAAATTGCTCTGGAAAATATAATCGAAATCTTTCGAACGTTCTCAGAGGTTATCAATTACATCATAGAACAATAGTTGACGAACTAAATGAATTTATTAACAATAAATGCACAAATGTGACTGTTGATGAAGATTTTATAAAATGTCCCGACTATAATAAATCAGGAATATATAACATTAAAGATTTGCCAAAAATTGCAGAAAAACTAAAAAACCGATTTACAAACTATAATGTTAATAATACGGCGACAATGGTTAATATAAATGAGATTTTCAATGCATTACTCTCTTCTCTTAACTCGAACAAATATAATGACTTTGATCCTAAGAACTTGCTATTTTTTTATTTATTGAATGATAACGTAGACCACAGACCTTTCACTATAAACAGTAATGATGTACAATTTACTTTATTAAAAAATAAAAAAAAATTAGATTTATTGAGATATGCAACTGTAAAATTTAAGTGTCCTAATAACACTTATTTAAATATAACAGATGTTTTTCAATATATGTTATATAGTTTTAATGCTCAAAATATGATTACATTTCAAGAATTAGTAATTACTGCAACTATCCAGCCTATAATCAAACTTGTACGAATTTATAATTTAAATCTAAAAAACCTATCGAGTTTCGTTAGTAATGCAATAATAAAAAAAAATGAAATAAATTTTTTTAAAATAGTTAAAATTGGCGTAGAAATTGTAAAGAATTTAGATTGTATAATTCATCTCAATATTTTAAACGAATATCCAGAAAGTTTGTTATATGCATTATTGAAAGAATCAAAAAATATTATTAGTTGTTATAAAAATAATATTCTATACCAAAGCAATACAATGACAAATATTGTAAATACCGTGCAAAGATTTTTAAAGAGTAATAGATTAGACATTACATTTGGTACGACTTTTCCTGAAAATTTCATTGAATATAACTTTGATAGTTTATTTTCAATTGTCGAAGACTATTCTCAAAAAGTTACAGCTTACATCACTGGTCTCAAAAGTTTTAAGCAAATATATAAAATTGTGAATAAAACTTATTATTTTAAATATTTTTATGTCAGCAGAAATAAAAATTTTTTTTGTGATGACGTTATTGGTAAGCATCTAATACAACTAAAAATAATTTGTTTTATTATTTAACATGAGGAAAATAAATATTCATGTACCCAAAAAGATAACCACGAACCTAATCTAAGTTAGAATATATATAGATAGATAATAAGTTATAGAACTACTATAAGACTCAATTAATCTCAGTTAGCCTTCACTTTTTCATATATTTTTCGAAAAAATTTTAAATTACTGTTATAGAATTTTTGACATAAGCCATTTAGTTACTGGCTGAAAAACAATTGTTTTATTATTATTATTATTTTTTGTTACTTTTAGTAACATATTATTCTTGAATTATTGGCTATGTAATACTTTTTAAGATCGTCTCTTATACCATGCAAGTGTCTCAACTTTATTTTTTATTCACGAAGTATATTTTTTAACACTGCGCTTAGTCACGCTTAGGAATCAAAAATAAAACATTTTATAGATCTAAAGATACTTCCTCAAAATGGTTAGTAATTTTAACTATATTATGAATTACAAAGTGCATTATAATAAATAACTTAACCCGTGTATACAATTATACAAATATTAACAATTCTATTAATACTGCATTACACTGTTTTTAATTTTTTACAGAATATATTTGCAACCAGAGAAGTTACACAAATTTATTTAACAAGAATAATGTAATTGATATTCAAACAGAAACAAAGACCGAGGTAGATAAAAACGATGATTTTACATTTGATATAGAAGATTCGATCAACAATCTTTACACAGAAATCGTAGAAAGTAGTGAAACTTCAAATCAAGAGGTAGATTTTGTCTCGTGTACAATTCCAGAAAGTCAAACTAAAAACAGACCGGAATACATAAAAGATTATCTTCTTTTTAGTAATTTAAGCTAGTTGTCATTTTTTTTTAATATATATAAAAACACAGCAGAACACAATTAATACCTTCTCAGCTGCATTGATAATATATTTGAATATTTTTTTTTTAAATGGAAGAATCAAACAATTTTTTAAAAGTTTACTCTTGAAATATTCATTGGTATATATATTTTTAATCTAACCCTTAACCTGCCCAGAGGGGGGATTCATAATGACAATTTTTTTCACTTAACATTTAAAGTGTTCGGAAATACTGACACTTTTATATACATCTTAAATTGAAGCTATTGAAATAAATTTTATAAAAAAACTGTTCTCTGGATTTTATTGTAGATTGAAATTGCTATCCTATTCAAAAATATGCTTTTTTTGTGATAAAATTTTTGATTTAATATGTTTAATGTACATATGTATTTTTTTGTAAAATGTAAGAATAAATTAAATATTTGTTTAAGAATACTTCATATATACTACTAGCCTATCTTTATGGTAAAATGAACATTTATATCAAAGAAAAAAATTCTAAATATTTTTATATAAACTTAATACTCACAACTTTTTTTTCAACCCATTATATTTTGTCAATAAAATAAAAAAATATACGAAATTGTATAGATCTTTTTAAAGGAAAATTCTACATTTCTTTTTGTTAATGCCAAACAACACTTTATATATACTTATAAGATGCACATTAAAAATTGCATAAATACTATCTAAAAAAAACCCAGCACAGAGGGATCGCGGCACAGTGGTGACGTGGCATAGTTCGATCAAGTATTATGATATCTGACAGTGATTTAAATCACTATCAAAAAAAACGCTTCGATGCAAATCTTTAGATAGTGTTTAATTTTAAAAAATTGGTGGATTATACCAAAAGCAACATGATCTGCTAGTTCATTATTAATATCCTGATTCAGATAAAGTATGTCGAATGAAAAAGGGATTATTAAAAAATATTATTTCTCATAAAAAAATTATGTTGATCCATACACTTTTCAATAAGTTATATCATTATAAAGTTAAAAATGTAAAAAATAAAATCGAAAATTTTCACACAATAATAGCATTCGGTAGCCATTTTCACCATGAAAATAAAATAAAGTCCGAATTTTTTTTTTTCCATAATAAAGTACATTATATTATCTTTAATTTAAGATATATATAAAAGTGTCAGACCTTCCGGAACATTTTCAGAAGTTAAGTTGAAAAAGTTAATTTTTGGTGAAAAAGTTGTCATTTTAAATCCCCCCTTGTGGGCAGGTTAAGGGTTAAATTTATGAAAAAAATATACCAAATAAAAGGTAATGATATTATACATCTATATAAAAAAGAATTATATTGATATGTTTATTTTTAAAAAAGTTATGGCACTTTTAAGTAAAAAAAATTTCGAATATTTAAAAATTAGCGATTTTTAAATTTGTAATTTTTTTGGAGGTATCCTCCATTTATGGGGAACGAGGGAATTTTTTTCAATTTTTGAGGATAATGCCTTCGACTAGATACGATTTGTGATCTTTTGACGTATCATTGAAAGACATCGGTTCTGTGAGAAAAAAAAAATAAACACATCTTACTAAAACCAATACCTTCTCAGCTTCGCATCGAAGCTAATATTGATAGTTAACATTTAACACTAATATATATACATATAATATATTAGAAAATTTCAATTAAAAACTTAAGTATAGAAAGGATTTGAAAGAGACAACCTATGCACGTAACACATTTTTACAACTAAATTTTTGAAAATGTCTTGAACTCTGTTGAAACATATAGCTCATTTACACTGTCTTTGGCGGCAGTGAACCTCTAACAAATCTTAATCTATAACAAGTCAAATATCTTAAATAATACTGTAATTATATAAAAAAAACCTTTAACAATTATTTTACTATACGAAATCGTACGTCAAAGCAGAAAGAATTTTATTTTTTATAAAATAAATCCAAATTAATGTCCCGACAATATTTTTTCTATGAGTTATTTGACTTTAAACATAAAATTGCAATTTTTTTTCAAAAAAATCGTTATTTTATTTAAACTTTGACCATGAATTTAATTCCTATTTTTATAGAGATGACTTAAAAAGATTTTTGTTAAAAAATGATCAGGTGACAGGACATATATATTATTTATATTGTCCAAACGATATAAAAAACACATCAGAGAGAATATTACCTGGGTTTCATGAATTTCATGTTACCGTAAGATAGTAGTTGATTGTTTAGCAGAATGGCATAGATTAAATAGAATAAATCATAGAAATTACCAATGCATATTGTTTGATATATAAGTGAAATATTTTTACAAGAATTTAATATTTTAGTGAAATTTCAAAACATCAATATTGTAAAATTACAAATATACAAAAAATGTCTAAATTTAACAAATTCGCGTTAAAGCATTTTTTATGAAAGTTGTGTAGTTTATTGAAATTTGCAATAAATATCTAGTTATACATAAATTTTTAAAAAATTGAAAAATAAAATGACAACTAGCTTAAATTACTAAAGAGAAGATAATCTTTTATGTATTCCGGTCTGTTTTTAGTTTGACTTTCTGGAATTGTACACGAGACAAAATCCTCCTCTTGATTTGAAGTTTCATTACTTTCTAAGATTTCTGTGTAAAGATTGTTGATCGAATCTTCTATATCAAATGTAAAATCATCGTTTTTATCTACCTCGGTCTTTGTTTCTGTTTGAATATCAATTACATTATTCTTGTTAAATAAATTTGTGTAACTTCTCTGGTTGCAAATATATTCTGTAAAAAATTAAAAACAGTGTAATGCAGTATTAATAGAATTGTTAATATTTGTATAATTGTATACACGGGTTAAGTTATTTATTATAATGCACTTTGTAATTCATAATATAGTTAAAATTACTAACCATTTTGAGGAAGTATCTTTAGATCTATAAAATGTTTTATTTTTGATTCCTAAGCGTGACTAAGCGCAGTGTTAAAAAATATACTTCGTGAATAAAAAATAAAGTTGAGACACTTGCATAGTATAAGAGACGAACTTAAAAAGTTTTACATAATGTGATGATGTCACGTTACCAATATCGTGAGAATTATTTTAATAAAATACAGACAGCACATCCGCTGCTTGAGACTGATGAATTAACAAATAATATTTATTGCCAAATTGGCAATAGTTCAAATTATTATAAAAACCCAAAAGACCTGACCATCGTGGTCAGTCGACTCCAGTGCCTTGTGTCATTCATCAGCCTCAGTACTCGGTTGTCGCTGTCCGGCTTACTGCTTAAAGTAAAGTCTTTGTTTATTCCTTTTCTAACCTATATACTCTTTTCCTCGACATTTCAGAGTACTTGTGTCTTGCACTTCGTCTGCACCTCATACTCGGCTACCCCGTTCTCTCTTTGAAGTACTTGTGTCTTGCACTTCGTCTGGACCTCTTACTTCATTATCCTCTCCTATACCCAAAGTATTTGTGTCTTGCACTTCGTCTGCACCTCATACCTAGGTATTACCCTGATTCCCTTTCGACACCCACAGCTAACCCGGAGTGTCAGCCGAGCACGGTGACTGCTGTACGACAACACGCACGTGAATACCTAGACAGCAGGCACCACCTCCTCATATTCATCTTCGCATCACAATTACTTTTACATCTGTTTTCCTTTCTTTTATTGTGTTACGACAATAGCCAATAATTTAAGAATAATATGTTACTAAATTAACAAAAAAAAATAATAATAATAAAACAATTGTTTTTCAGCCAGTAACTAAATGTCTGATGTCAAAAATTCTATAACAGTAATTTCTAATTTCTAATTTTAAAAATTTATTTTTTCGAAAAAATATATGAAAAACTGAAGGCTAACTGATATTAACTGAGTGTTATAGCAATTCTATTATTTATTATCTATCTATATATATTCTAACTTAGATTAGGTTAATGGTTACCTTTTTGGGTACATAAATATCTATTTTCCCCATTAAAAAAAATTACAGTGTGAAAATGTAAATACATTATTTTTAATGAATAAATTATGGTTAACCGAAAGAAAACATTATATAATATCTATAATTGTTTTTGCCCTCTTAAATGTATTGATTGAACAATGTTACGTTGACTTAAGATATTTAGACTAATATCTCAAAATTACGCTATCGCTAAAATTGAAAAACTTTTTATAATTAAATATTACTAAAATAATAAGAGTATAAAATTCGTTAAACATTTTTTAGATTATTAATAATTTCAAAGTTTTACTATTTTCACATAAAAAATAATAAAAAACCAAAAGAACGTTGTTATGAAGTAATTATTGATTTTAAATATATTAAATACAATTCTTGCAAAATTTGAAATTAAAATATTAATTGTAAGCTATTTTTTTGGTTTTTAAAGTTGATTTTTATGAAAGCGTATAATTTAAAAAGTATGAACTATTAAGTACTTTTTTGCTCAATTTGCAAGTTTAAAATTTATATCATTAAATAAAAAATATTGATGAAGATATGAAAATTCGTATTTTTTACATATATATGCGATGAGAAATTCATGTAATTATTATTAATAGTGTATTAAAAAGAAAATCTTAAAATTTTGATAGAATTTTTATTTTTATTTACTATTTTACTATTTATTTTATTTTTTTTGCATTTTTTTGTTATAAATATTTTAAATTGTCTTAGTAATCATTTCTATATAAATGTAGGTGTTTAAATAAATGCTAGAATTAAAATATTATAAACTTAATTTATTAAATATTCAATAATTATTTATAATTATATTCAGCACGTAAAACATTCTTCTTGTTATTTTACTTTTTTAATAAATTTATTGATTATTTATATGTAACCCAATAATCAAACATAAATATTTGTTAAAATAAATAGTAAGATTTTGTTATTATACAATCCGTATCTACCTTTGTATTAGACAAGGCCAAAATAAATTGGAATTTATTTCCATCGAGTTTTCAATGTCTTGTATTTTTTTCTGTCGATTTCTAAAACTAGGAGATCGTGGTCTACCAGTTAGATAATGATGTGGAAAAGATAAACTTAATTAAACCTCCTACATTTTTTTTTTTTTAGTTATCTTACCATTCGAAAACAGAAATATTTAACTATATAATGTTCATAGAAGATAAAACGAATTCTAAAAAGATCAGTCTTCTATGTGTGTAAAAATTTAGAAACAATTTGTTTTAAAGGTGTGAAAAAACTAGTAGCAATTAATAGCAATTAATAGTAATTAGTAACAATTAGTAATAAGGGTGTGAATAATAGTCTAATTAATGTAGTTAAAGTTCACAAAAAAAGTTTGATTACTACTAATAAATATTCAAAGATATTTTTACAAGAGCACTTAAGGGTTGTTCTAATCATTTATGTTGATAAAATCAGAGACCGATCGATTTGAAGTACAAATATTAATCTATTGTGTTTTAAATTGTTAAGATATTCTTAACAGTTCTATTATTGCAAAGAATTTCTTTACTTATTATTATTTTTATTATTTAGTTCATATAAAATTCTTACATTATCATAATTTACATTTAACAATTTCGTGATATTATTTTTGGGGTAAGCCCCCCGGTAACGTTTATCCAAAAATGATCTTAAATATTAGGTCATGCCATGGCATATTTGGACCTGTTCTAGTTTCACCAATGATTTCGTTCTCTGATGTCTTGTTGAATTTCATTTTAACTTAGATATTTTTAAATAGTTCAAAAATTAATGAAGTTCTGATTATTTCAATTGTAGAATCTTTTTAAACGCCAATAGTTATATAAAAATTATTACAATGATTTCTATTTAAATGATTTATTACTATAAACGCCTCTTAACTAAAATATTAAATCCATAAAAAAACAGCTACAAAACAGATTTATATCTAATAAACAAATAAAGTTATATTAAAATTCAAACGTAATTCATTACTTAACATAATTTCATTAAATGTAAAATATCTGTTCCATTTGTAAACTAAGTTGACACCCACATTATACATGGTATGAGAGATGGACTTAAAAATTACTACATAGCTAATAATTCAAACAATTTTCAGCGAGTAATTGAATAAGCTTATAGCTCATGAAAATTATACGGCGCTAATTAGAATTTCGAATATTTTTTTTAAGTAACCGAATTAATTAACGGAATTGCAACTGAGAATAGCTAGGCTTCGGATTATATTTATAGTTATCTAAATTTATTTAAAAGTAAAACTATATTAAAAATATTATTATATAAAACTAAAAAAATATTTTTAATATTTTTATAGTTTTTTTTTTTTTTGACACTTTTTCTTCCGTGCTATTATATAGAATACCTGAAAACTATAAAAAACTGAAGACGAAATACGTTTTTGTAACTGATACAAAGTTATCTCTTTCGTTTAAAATGGAAAATGACACAAAATATCCACTTAAAGTATTATGTTAATATATAAAACTAAACAAAATTAAAAACAAATAGCTGTATTTTACAGTATTTAGAATATCTAATTATAAATACGTGTTTTTTATTTTCTTTTGATCTTACATTCGAAGGGTTGTCATGACAAAAAAATTTAATTGGAATTTATTTTCATACAGCTAATATACAAAACTACTCGTAATTTTAATTTTCTTTCCAAAGATATTTATACACAGCACAGAAGACATGTTGATTATAAACTCATCGCCTCAGCATTTGTGGACACGAAGATAGCTAAGATATATTTTGATAGAAAGCAGACTTACACAACTGATGGCGCCAGACAGTTAACAATTAAACAAAGAAAATGCGTTTTTCCTGATGAAATACCGCTAGTTACTAATTATATTTATATATTCAGTGCTTGCATGACACAATGTCGAATGGATAAAACAAGACACACATGCGGCTGTGTGCTTTGGTTCTATAGGAAAATAAGTATGTAGTCAATGATAATTGTTAGGGTTCATTAGATTAAATATTTATCATATTTCATGAAATGAAAAATGTTTAGAGGACTACAGACATTGCAATTTAGATGGTCTGCTTGTATCGCAAAACATTTTGGTGAGTTAACAGTAAAAATGTATGTTTTGGCATCCTATCGATCATGAAAACATTTAAAAAAAGGATTAATATTAATTTTTATAAATCCAACTCACTAATGAAAACAAGTGAGCGTGGACTGTAAGTTTTACCAAAATCTAACATAAGTAGGGTCTTAAGACCACCTATATATACAGTGGACTTATGACCACTTTAGAAAGTGGTCTTCAATCGCATTTAGTCTCCTCGAATGGGTTGTAAGTCCAATCAAAGCCATGTACAGACCTGTGCTAGGGGGGAGCAACAGGAACAAATGCCCGAGAGTGAATTTTTCAGTAGGCCAAGATCCCAACTAATTAAATTGTTTTTACTTTTAAACATTTCTATTGCCTCCCTTAAATTAAATTCTTTGTAATTATTTTTATGGTTTTCGTAGAGTTATAATGAGTCAATAAACGTTCAACCAAAAAAAGAAAGAGAATTTCAAACAATTTGATTCTTATAAAATTGTTTATCCGATCAACCTTTTCCATTTTAAAGCAGTTTAAATATTTGAATTTAAAATACTCATTCATCATTAATTTAGTTTTCATAATACCCTAGTTTTTTCAATTTTAAATTAATAATATGTTTAATATAGTTTTATTTTTACATAATATTAGGCACAAGTGATCAACTTTTATCGTATAATATTTCGCCATTAAAAAAAAACTATTGTAGTTAGTAAATACAGTTCTTTTTAGGATCAAAAAAATAATTTTATAATTATATCAATAAGTATAACCTGTTGTAATGTGTGTTAAACAAACAAATTAATGTTATCACATAATTCAAAATCATTAGTAATTTAACTGAATTTAAATAATTATTTAAAAATTTTTAATTTGCTTAGAAAACTTACCAATTATGTCATTATGAATAAATTTTTTATTTCCAGAAACCAAAAAAAAAGTACAGTAATAAGTTTCTTGCGCAATTTTAAATAGCTGCTTAAATCTTTTAAGTTCTGTTATGTAAGCCGTAACACTTTGAGAATATTGTTCGATATTTAAAAATAAAGGATTAAAGTTAAATTTATCGATGTTTACATTAAAATCTGAACCAATTGTATAGTTTAATTTATTATTCCTTAAAAATGTTCGCATGGCTTTTACAATACTTTTAAATATATTGCTATTGTTTAAAATCTTACGTTTATAGCGTTCTGTGACATTTTTTATATCATTTGATACTGTACTCAACATTGTTTCTAGAGATTTCGTTAAAATGGTGATGTTAATTATAATATCTAAATTCTTTATAATTTCTTCACCAATAATAACTATTTTATCAAAATTTATATCATTTTTATTTATTTTTCTTTCATCAAAGGAAGTCCACAATTTTTCACAAAATAAACTATAAGATCGTACAAGTGCAACTAAAGGTTGTATAGATGCAGCCTTTACTAATTCTTGGAATGTAAACATATTTTGAGCATTAAAATTGTATAACATGTAATGAAAAATATCCGTTATATTTAAATAAGATTTATCAGGACATTTAAATTTAACAATTGCATATCTCACAAAATCTAATTTTCTATTACTTTTCATTAATATAAATTTTTGACCGTCTATCGTTAAAGGTCTGTGGTCCACGTCATGATTCAATAAATCAAAAAATAGCAAGTTCTTAGGATCAAAGTCATTATATTTTTTTGAGTTGAGAGATGAGAATAGCGCATTGAAAACATCATTGCTATAAATCATATTATTAGTATTATAGTTTGTAAATCGGCTTTTTAGTTTTTCTGCAATTTTTGGCAAATATTTAATGTTATATTTACCTGATTTGTTGTAGTCGGGGCATTTTATAAAATTTTCATCTACTGTTATATTTGTGCAACTACTGCTAATAAATTCATTTAGTTCGTCAACTATTGTTCTATGATGTAATCGATATCCATTGAGTACATTCGAAAGATTCCTATTGTATTTTCCAGAGCAATTTCTAGTTATAAAATTTAATGAACCTGAAACATTGTTCAAGTATAAATTAATAGCCATCAAATCATTCGCTGTTGATAGTGAACTTAAAGGCCGTAATGCATCTAACATAGCCATGATGATTTCACCGTGTGTTTTTAAAACTGCGCCATAAGTATTTAGATCTTCTAAGTCTACTGGTTGAATATTGTTTCGTTGTTCAAGATTTAATAAATATTTTTCATTGTGATTAAAGAAATTTAACATGTATTTTGAAAAATTGCATTGAAGTTCTATTGGAGATAATCCGATACAAGAACTTAATGATTTCAATAGTATGATTAATATAATTAAATTCATACTCAACGTTAAAATTATGTACGATAAATTTTTATTACTAAATGCTTTAGCATAACTGTTTTTTGTATTTAAATATACGTATGGTTATATACGTAAAATTTATGATTTATATTCTAAATATAACTTTTAATTTACCTGTCACACACATTTCCTAATATATTATTATAAAAAAAGTAATATTAAGTGGCCAATTTTATATAACTATTGTATATTTTTTTACAGGTATATAATTTTCATATACCGTCTTTTTAGACAGTATATGTAAGTTTTTAACTTACTGTTATATTTGAAAATTTCGAAAATTTATTTATTATATTTATTATCATTGTTGTTGATACATTGTAGCTCAATATAGTAAATCATTCAACTTATTATCATCAAATATAACTTAATTTATTCGTTTCCTTTAACATGTTGAATATTTAAACAATAATTTTTAAATGTACAAAATATATCGAATACCAAAAATATACTGCTTAGAGTGTATATAAACTAGTGACAATCATATAGTTGATTTTTTGTGTTTATGTAGTTATTTTTTTGTCTTAATCAGGCTATATGGAGAGGAAGAAAAAAATAGAGTGGACTATATGGATATATCATTTAAAACACAAAAACAATTAACTGTATGACACAAGAGAGAAAATGTTATATGTGATGTTTAAGATTGATACCTCCCTATTGTTGTTAAAAATTTACAAATTACAATTGTATTTGTTTCTATAAACTTTTGTATATATCTAGTTTCCTATAAGAAATTATTTATAATGTAAAAATAAATGTGTTTTGATAAGTACACAATATTATCTTTTACTGTTATTAAGAATTGTCTAAATAAAATTTTCAATGGTAAAAACCATACTGGTTATTTACGTATCTATTAATTCCTATTACTAGCACTTTATTATTATTTATTGAGTTGATGTAATTTTTAGTTATAGTGGAGATGGGTAGGCAACAAAAGAATTTTTATTTGTGCGTCGTAGTACAAATAGAGTATTGATATACACTACTTCGCTCCTCATTTTTTCTAAATGCTAATATGAATAAATTAAAATCCTAATAGAATAGTAATATGTCCAATAGTAATATTTCAATTCTGATCAATAAAAATTTGAGACCAATCATCATTTATTAGTAAAAAATAAGAATAACTTATCATTTACTTTTATCCAAAAAAAGGCACCTCAAAATAATTTTTTCTTATGATAAACTTGATTTTTTTATAGTTTATAAAATTTATTAATTTTTTATCTTTACATTTTTTTTGAAAAAATCATTAGTTAACAAAAAAATTAGGAATAATATATTTAATAAATTGCACTAAAAGATTGACTACCAAGCATGTAGATTCTAAATTTTAATTTGTAATTTATCATTGACCACAATCTCTAAATAAAATTAGTTAGTTAATTTTCTCAAATAAAAATCTTCATTTTTATTTAGTTTTATATTTTGCTGAAGTGTTAACTTCATCCTTGTGTTTGTAAAAGTTAAAATAATTTATAAGGTTGAAAATATTATCTAAATTATTATACTGTTCATTGATATTTATATATTAATGTATTTTTATACTACGGGTTCTAAGAAACACATATATTAAAAACATAACACTGTCATAGATCTATAACATTAATTATTATTTTTAATTACTGTTGAAACAATTATTGATATAAAGACGATGTGACCGAATCATTAAATAAAATAGGTATGCAGTTTCTGATACGCACTATTTTAAATTCAGGTATTTTAGTTACAGGCGGTTCTATTTGCTGAGTAAAAAATCAATTTAGAAATTGGAGTTACTATCTCACTCTCCGGCAATGAACCAACCGTCCTGGGGTATTTTTAGATAAGAAACCTCTACTTTTTGGTACTACACTATAACTCCTTATCGGTTATCAAAATGTTTTATCAAAAAGTTTATTGTAATCAACAAAATGTCAATTAAATCAATTAAAAATGTTTTATATTCATCGACTTGTTTAAAATAAAACCTTAAGCTTTTTTAGCTTCGATGCAAAGCTGAGAAGGTATTGGTTTTACTAAGATGTGTTTTTTTTTTTTTTTTTTTTTTTTTTGTGTCTGTTACCACTTTTTCTCAGCTCTCACCGAACCGATTTCTTTCAATGATACGTCAAAAGATCACAAATCGTATCTAGTCGAAGACATTACCCTTAAAAATTGAAAAAAATTCCCTCGTTCCCCGTAAATGGGGGAAACCTCCAAAAAAATTACAAATTTAAAAATCGCTAATTTTCGAAATTTTCAATTTTTTTTAATTAAAACTGCCATAACTTTTTCAAAAATGAACATATCAATATAATTCTTTTTTATATAGATGCATAATATCATTACCTTTCATTTGGTATATTTTTTTCATAAATTTAACCCTTAACCTGCCCACAAGAGGGGATTTAAAATGACAACTTTTTCACAAAAAATTAATTTTTTTAACTTAAATTTTGAAAATGTTCCGGAAGGTCTGACACTTTTATATATATCTTAAATTAAAGCTAATGTAATATACTTTATTATGGAAAAAAAAAATTTCGGACTTTATTTTATCTTCATGGTGAAAATGGCTACCGAATGCTATTTTTGTGTGAAAATTTTCGATTTTGTATTTTCCATTTTTAACTTTATTATGCTATAACTTTTTGAAAAATGTATGAATCATTACAATTTTTTTATGAGAAGTAGTATTTATATAGATCTTTCATTCGACATACTATTTTTTTTAAATCGGACTATTTCCCTTAATATAGGGGGGATTCAAAACATAAAAATGCATATAGAAATTAGAACTTTTTCAACTTAACTTTTGAAAGTGTTCCGGAAGGTCTGACACTTTTATATATATCTTAAATTAAAGCTAATGTAATATACTTTATAATGGTAAAAAAAAATTTCGGACTTTATTTTATCTTCATGGTGAAAACAGACATTAAACTTAATAAAAAAAATACGATTTTTGTAAAAAAATTCTTTTTTATATTTTTAACTTTATAATGCTATAACTTTTTGAAAGATGTATGGATCAATATAATTTTTTTTTTTGTAGATACATGATGTCTTCGCCTATTATTTGGTATATTTTTTTTATAAATCTGACTTTTTACCAGCCTACAGGGGGGGATTCAAAATGACAACTTTTTCACAAAAAATTGACTTTTTCAACTTAAATTTTGAAAGTGTTCCGGAAAGTCTGACACTTTTATATATATATTAAATTAAAGCTAATGTCATCTACTTTATTATGTAAAAAAAAATTTTCATACTTTATTTTGTCTTCACGGTGAAAATGGCTACCAAATGCTATTATTGTGTGAAAATTCTCAATTTTATTTTTTACATTTTTAACATTATAATGCTATAACTTATTGAAAAGTGTATTNTTAACTTTATAATGCTACAACTTATTAAAAAGTGTATTGATCAATATAATTTTTTTATGGGAAATTCTATTTTTTAATAATCCCCTTTTCATTCGACATAATTTATCTTAATCAGGATATTAATAAGGAACTAGCAGTTTATGAAGATTTTGGAATAATCCACCAATTTTTTAAAATTAAACACTATCTAAAGATTTGCATCGAAGCGTTTTTTTTTTATAGTGATTTTAATCACTGTCAGATATCATTATACTTGATCCATCTATACCACGTCACCACTGTGCTGCGACTTTTTTTTAAATAAATTTATTTCAAACACAAATGAATTTTTAACATATTGCACAGATGTGTAAATATAAGTTCATAATTTAATTTATTTAAATTTTATAATTAGTTTATATAAAATATTGCTCTATTGTAAAGCGTCATTATATTTAAAATGTAGAAAATAGGTCCGGACGACCTACTTTTTTTGTGCAAATCGCTGCGCAGTTGAAAAATATACTATTTTTGTGTTCAATTTTTTTTTTAAATTTTATTCACTTAAATCATCAAAAAAGGTAATATTCTCCCCTCCAATAATATTCAATATGATATTGCCTTTGTGTAAATTTTTTCTTTCAATATATATTTTAAACAACCATTACTTTTTAAAAAATGTCCGAATAGGTGAATTTTTTATTTTAAAATACTTTATAATAGTTTGCCATTGGCCATCGGTTTTTATAAAAGTTACATGAATATATTATAAAAATGTAATATGTTATATTATACTTATAAATCATAAAACTTGTAATCAATAAATTAATAAGGAAATAAGATTTCTTTTGATTTTGAAATAATCCTCTAATTGTTTGAAATTAAACACTATCTACTGATTTGCATCGAAGCGTTTCTTATGATAGTGACTTTATGCACACCGTGGAGCGATCCCTTTGCGCTGTCAGTTTTTTATTACAATTCCATAATAATTAAATTTTCTAAATTATTATTTCTTTTATAACGTTACATAGAGTTTCAAGATAAACATTTCTTAATATTTATTGTTAAGTAAAGGTCACAGATAAAAATTGTTTAAATTTCACGTTATTTGGTATTATATGTTTTATTATGTTTAACAGTATTTTTCATTTCTAGGTATAAACTTTTTTAACGTTAAAATCATAACATTATTATTTTGTTTCTAAATCTTCTTTATGTACACGACTCTTAAGCATAGACACACTTCGGGATGACTTAAAAGAGCTTGGCCCCCTAAGAAGTGACAGTTAAATGTATAACATGGATTATTTTATATTCGATTTATCTATAAATTTGATTTTACTTGTCATTTATATAGAATTATTTATAGTTTTATTATTTTAATAATTGATCGAAATTAAATAAAAATGCAATCAAGTTTATTCGTTTTCTTGCCCCCAGCTTTTCAAATCTATAATTAATGTTCTAGTGAAAAAACCGTACTAGTTTTAATTTATATTTAATCGAATTTTGGCATTGGAAGCATCAGAGTGCTGCTCTCTATTCGTGAAAGGTTTCGGGACAGGAGAAGGTGTAAATATAAAAAGCGGACCGAGAGAAGGTGGTCTGAATGTGATCTCTTGACTCGAGGTCGCCTTGTTTAACACGGACCCCGTGCGACACTTCTTTATTGCACCGCTGTCCAGCCGCTTTTCCCCTTCGCCCTGGACGCTGTGCGGTGTGCCGCCGTTATGCGCAGTTACAAAGCGGAATCTGCAAAATAATGTACACGGATACGTAGAAAACAAAACATCATTAGACAGGCGCGGACAGCAGTTTTCCGACGGGGAAAAAAGGTAAAACGCCGCCGCGATCGCCACCGACGGAGAAACCGCGTTTGCCCGTCGAATGCAAACGCTGACCGGTCGACACACGGGCAACATGCCGAACCGCGTCCACACCGCCGTTCCCGTTAGGTTCACTGGCGCCGTTATACGCACAGTACCCAACTGTTTTTGATCCAAAACGAAAAATTATTCAACAATATTATCGTTGGAATCCAAAGGCATTTAATTGCTGTTACCGATATTAATTGGCGTTCTGATTCGAAATGCAAGTCCTTCGGATGAGAGCTTTTGCGGACGTGTCGCCAAACGAAAAGGTAGGTGATTTTATAGACATACTTTTTCGACTTTGAAATCGGAATAATTTAAGTTTATACTAACGTTTTAAGTAAAAAAAAAAAACAATTGAAACGTCGATATTGTAAATTTTGCTGCGACGTCCCTAAAAATATGAAACAGTCCTAATGATGTCATTGTAAAATTGTTTTAATTGCTTTTCAGGATAAATTGAGATATGCTTTCTTTGTGTCGGTTATGTCAAAACAAATTTAAGTATATTTCAATTTATTAGTGTATTATTTGCGATGACATGCGTCTAAAAACTATATCATTGTAGTAACTAAATCTAGAAAAATATCTTCACGTTACCAACATATGATTGACAAGTAGTACTTGAAATACGATATCCGATGTATTATTTATTTATGAACTACAGAGTTAACAAATAATTAATGTTTTCCGAGAAACCTATATGTCTCAAAGGTCAATTAACTTGTTGTGACTTGCTTGTGTTACATTATATGATAAATTATGTCGATATGGAATCGAGAATAATTTTAAGTTGACAAATATTTGCTTTTCAATTTTTTCGATAATGGAATATCGAGTTAATCCATCAACTATTTAATAAATTAGAGATTAAGAACAATAGTTTTTATGTATCTATACATCGTTTTCACACCGTAAGAATTTATCAAAAAATAATTCCTTCGCGTCAGTATGACATTTGAAACATGTTCTTTAATTTTACATACACATAGTGTAATTTCGACATAAAGTATACAAATAAAATATTTGTACAGTAAACGTAAATTAGATTTCATCACAAATTTAACTTCGTTTAAACACGAATGAAATAATTTGATTACTATAAATTTTATGAATTATAGTCAGCCCAAAGCTGCGAGTCTCAATAACTTTAACCGATTTTTTCTACTTGGTACTGATATCAATAATTGATCTCAGGTCAAATGCGCATTCAGGAAAATATGGAAAATTGATTTTCTAATATATCGGTAGTAGACTGAAAAGAGAAAAATATTCATTTTACGATTAATTTCATTCATTTAATTTAAAGGCCCATTAGTAATGCGCCTTAGCTATGGTATTACTATATCATATCATATGGTAATGTCATAACATTAATCATAGAAACATTATCTATAAAAACAAGAAAAATATCATTTTTTTTCTTCAAAATTTAAGGTCATAATTAAAAAAAATATATTTTAACCAATGACATAGAAAATAAACATACTATTTTTTTATTAATTAATTAAAAATTAGTATTTAATAGTATTAGAGATTATTTTTTTATTATTAGTAATTAAGAATATTTATGTAATTTATTGGAAGTAAAATTTATATACTCAATTTGACAACCCCCTACACTTCTTGTGGATTTACCTCTAGTTACATATTAACTGTTTTAGGAGTAATACATTCAGTATCTATAAATAGAATTTGAAAATTTATTATGAAACAATACACAATTTAATATTGATTTCTGAATTTATCATGTTTTAGGCATCTAAAACGGATATCAATTAATTTGATAAATGAATATTCAAATCATTCTGCTTACCCTATTCAGATCCGACTATTTGTTTTTAATTAAAATTGCTCAAAATAATTTTTTTATTCGTGAATAACCCTAAGATAGGCTAAAAAACGATATGTCGAGATATATTTTGTTCGACTGCACACTATGAACTTTTAAACTTTGAACATTTTACTTAAGTTTTGCTGATTAATTAGTTTAGCATCTCTTAGTTTCGGAGTCATTGTTATAATTTAAAAATTACATTTGTAAATTAAAGAAAAAATAATAAACGATACGTACACAATAGTGTACTTAGGGTCTAAAAGGGTTAATACATAAATTGTATGAAACAAAAAAATTATTTTAAATTATGTCGACATTTGGTTACGTTTCTAAGTAAAATTTATTAAAACCAATAGTTTGGTGTCAATAATTGAACAAGAAGTAGCAATTTAAGTTTTGTCCCTTGAAAATTTAACTGATCTAAAAGAACGTGTTATTTCTAAGATTCGTCAATTGCTCGTTCATTTTCAGTACTGTGTAATAGAACAATAATAGTGAGACGCAGAAAAGATTTGTGTATGAGAAAGCGTGTAGTGTTTAGAGCATTGCGATACATTACGCAGAGCAACGACGGGAGAGGTGCAAAAACGCTCCTCGTTGCCGCGACGGTCGCGTGTTCTTCCTTCGTCGTCCTCATCGCCAGTATTAATACAATATTGCTTGTATACAATATACATGTACTGCCTTACAGTAGGTATACAGCGACTTCGTGTACAGCAAATGTGTATAGTCCCTCTTTTGTTTACAATGTCGCTAATGGATTTTGTTGTCCCGGGAGCTCGGTTGTTCGCGACACTTGTTTTAAACACAGCTTCCCTTCCGCCCGTCGCCACGCCAACGACGCCGATTCCCAATCCTTTCACGTCAGCCGCCGTCTCCTCGTCCCCGCATCCCTTTTCGAGTACGTTCGTCTTGCATACAATACTTTGTAAGTGCTCGAGTGAGTAGTAAGTCGCCCGTTTGCTGGCGGTCAATACTGTTTCAATGTAGTGGCCTCTGCGTAAGCTGTTGCCAGTGCAGTGTTGTTAAAATAGAAAAAAGAACCTTAACGCTGTTGGACGCCGCAGGATCCAGGAGAGAAAGACGAGACAGCAAAGAAGACAATAATGTCTGCGGTATGCGTGTTTGCGAGGCAAGTGGGGAAGCGGATAGGCGGGAAAACGATATACTGTGGGCGCGGCTTCCGTGCAAAGGGGAAGGGGATGGCTGTGTAAGTACGCGCGCGTGTGTGTGTGTGTGTGTGTACGATAAGCATCGTCGCACACGACCGCGGTACACGGTTAGCGAAACGCTTAAAAAAATACTGTAAGTTATTACTGTTTGGAAACGAGAAGACTTTTTGTCCGACGCGTGACACGTGCATTCAGAATATTTTTAAGTAATCTTTTTGACAATTATTCCAATGGGCTCTCTTTATATTGTCAACGCAATTATTATTGTTATTATAATCACAAACTGCGGGGATGAGCATTTTGTTACTATTGTCACCCGCTGAGTTTCGTTAGATAACGCATTAATATTGTATTGTACTTGGTGCTACCGTTTTCGCGCCAATATCAAAACTGATATTATTATTGTTACTACTACAACTATTACTGTGGCGTTGATAACGACCGCAATGGCCGATAAACGTGACAAAATCGACAAATTGCCACCGGGATGGCCCAATTGATTTCCGCCCGCATTTTATCATATTGTGTCATTATTTGATGGTAATAATAAAAATCAACCGGCCGGCATTGAGTCGTCAGACCCGATTAACAACACACGATATATTATACCAACAGACCGCGCAGCCCTTCATTATTGTAATAATGGTAATATATTATGTCGAACAACGCGGCTATTATAATGAGCAGGGATTAAATGCGGTAGGTAGACGATACTTTATGGAAAGAGAACGCTTTCGATTCAAACGTTTACAATACACAAGTACGGCAATGTAGGAACCCTGTATTCGGTCGAAATAAAAAACAAAACTGCCATTATCGTTTGTAAATGGACTGGAATGGATTTGATCAATAGGTACTAGTGGTGCTGAATTACGAATTCCACTGAAAAGGTACATCGTTAATAATGTCAACTGCAGTGAACTAAAGTTTCGTTACGGACACGGAAAAACATTTTGTCAACATTTAGTATTATAAAACCGTGCACACCAGTGCTAGTTTTTCATGTTCTATAACGTTCCCAAAATACAGGTTTATTTTTTTCATGAAAAAGTTTTTTTTAAAACTCGCATTCGATAATAAAAAATTCTATTCGGTTATCATATCGCGTCATTCGTAAAATTAAATAAATTTTACTTTGGACAATTAAATTCATTAATCATTCGATAAATTGCATAGGTGACTTGGAGGTATTGTTAAGAGCAACAACGGTTAGCTTATCGGCAATTGCGTAGAATAGAATTGAAAGTAAAAAGTGATAAAATGTTAAGCTGAAAATTATTTGACGGTGGCAAGACGGGAGGACAAAACGGCCCTTGTTCGCGGCGGCTGTGTTGGTAATTGTGTGTCAGAAAATATCGTCTCTCCTCGGCACCGTGACGGCGTCAGGGGTGGCATCGCGGGGTAATCATGGTGTCGGAGCGGGGCAACGGAGCGTAGGGCGGACGTAGGAGGCGCTAGTGGCCGTCAGAGGCGGTGCCCCGAGCCGGCTGTGTGATCGCGGCCACCGGCACCGCGTTTACGGTGTCTCTGTATGTGACTGTCAGCGTGTGCGTTCGTTCGTCCGTCCGATCGTTCGCCACTACCCGTTGTCGCCGCCGCCGCCGCCGTCACCGTCGGTGGGTTGTATACGTCGCGTCGCCTACAAGTTGCTACCGAGTAATACACACCAGTCTGTCCCGAACTCGTGTCCAACAGCAATAACCGTCGCTACCTCGTACGACAAAATGATGTTATGTTTTTTTAACGCATTATATTAGATAGAACTATTTTTTATTTTGATTTGTTTGAACGCGTTGTGAAATAAATTTTTTTTTTTTTTGTACTCGAAAACAATTCTGCGTGAAAGTTGCCCGATGACACGGACTTATAGCAGTCGGGTAACGTTAACAACGGCAGTGGTCTCTTAGAGGCCCCGCAAAGTTTTCCAAAACGGGTTTTCCCCGTACCATGACTTCACAGTTTTCGCAGCAACTCGTCAAAAATATTGGACACCAGGTAAGCCTAACTCTCATTAAATATCGGCGAATTATTATATAAAGTAGAAACGGTAATCTTCATCACATTAAAAATCGTTTTTTTTTTATCACATGCATTAAACTGAAGTCGGACATAAAAATTAATTTGAGTTAAATAATTACATTTTATCATGGCAAATTTCTGCAATGGTTTTTTTTTTCTTAGTACATTGATGTATTAAAAATATGCACTACCGTAAGTTTTTTTATATTCATCCGATTTTTCTCACGTTCTTTAAAAATGTTCCTGAGTAATCATTATCATATTTACTCACTGTAGTAATTACGTGAATAATTATTATTCTTAATAAAGTTATTATTTAAAATCATAGGAATTATCTTTTATTTGCTGCTCACTTATGGAAATGCAGTAAATTAAATGTGTGACACCCAATATACATCAATATAACTCAATTTATTATTATATAGTAAAAAAATATATTCAATCACGCTAAAATATAAAAATCAGTAAAATGACGAATTTCATTATTTAAACGGAAATTTTTTTAAAAAATAATTTAATAAATAAAAAAATTGTCTTGCTAGACATTATTTTGTTAACTAATAAATAAATGTCTGTTATGAAAAACCGTTTTATTAGATGAATAATGACAAATGTTTTTTTTAATCAATATCGTATTAAATGAGTTTTATTCTAACTTTTAGATTCTATAAATTGAGATCAAATAATTATCTAATATTTATAACATTTTTGGAATATTTCATTTAACCATAAAAATACAAACATTATAATTCTTATCTTTTAAAGAATAATTTGTTGATTTTTACGTTAAACATTAATATAATTAAGTATAAAATCTAACCTAACCGATATTTTAATAATAAAAGTTAAAAAATAAAAAAAATGCATAATCAAATCTTAAACTGTATAAACGTAAATGTTATTCGGTTAACACAAAAAAGAAATGTATTTTCTAACGTAATAAAAAGTTGATTTCAGCGGATAATAATTAAGTTATCATTTAGAGAATCCAAATCGTTGTGGTGATATCTTAATGCAAATTTTGAACGATTTTAATTTTTCATTGCAAACTAATCGTTATGACGAGTTGATAAATTAACTACATTTTTTTATGGATGTCGTTTAGATGCATTTAGAAAATAAGTTGTTTGCATATTCCACCTGAGTTCCGATCGACATAATTATTGTGGTTTAATAATGATGTGTGATTTTTAATTGATGCATTAATGTTTTGTGATAAAATACTGTATTTATAACCGCATTGAAAAACTATCGTATTTGTTTAAATTCAAATAAATTTTTGTAACTAATTTTCGTTGTTGTTTTCAACACATTAGTTTATCTGGAAAAAAATCGGCGTTACTCGGAATACGTTTATCTTCGATTTGATTAGTGTGTCTCCAATTAATTGATACAATGTGTTTTTCTCTTATCGCGCTGCGGAATTTCTCACAGAAAATAATTAGAGTGTAGTATTTCTTTTTACTTGATTTGTTCAAATTTAAAAGCTAATACATATATAAATATATAAAAATGATTTTTAACAATCGTATCGCTGTTTGATATCTCGTGTGTATTCATTATATTACTACATAGTAATTGCCTGTCGGTAAAGGTGTGTACGCTTGTAACTGACGGCTGTCGAACTTAAATTCTCTATAATTACTATTATTGTTAACGATCGACTTAATCAGCGTTATCTCGGGAAAGGCCTGCCGCGACAACAACATTGCCGCAGCCGGTAAAAATACTTAAGGTACATGTGTTACAAAGGCACTCGTTATTGGTATTACACGAGTACGTATCAATGTAGCCACAACAGTCGTCCGAAGACGCCATTTCCTCTGTAATTTCCTCGGCCGTTGCGTGCGACGAACGAAACAACACTGTACCGATTAACTGGCGGTATTGCGTCGATTGTACCGGTTTTCGCCATGGACACTTGCGGCTGGACATACCACGGCCTTTGCAGTTGCGTAAGTACTCCGCACAATAAAATAGCCGACCGAGCCGTAGAATTAATGCCAATTTTATTGTTGTGCCGTATCGGTTCGCTTACACGGTATTGTCGTCTTCGGTGCCTCCGGTTACGGGCCTGTGTCATGACCGTTTCGCGTACACGCCCGTCTGGTTCAGACAATGGGCTCGAGCCTGAGGTATTACAATAAGTAAATGCGTACACGCTCGTTTAGTAATAATTATTGCTGTTGTTGTGTCGTCGGGTCAAAAGAAACAAATTACACGTTGAATACTAATGCGGTTACGGTGACCTATCGGCTTTACATGACTCAGACCCACCGAATCGGTAGCCGAAAACAATACAAAAACCATTATCCGTTCGATAGTTCATAATAATTTCGTCTCGGTTTTCTTGTTGACTTGTTGTAGTTTTGACTGTGCCGCATTAACTTCTCGCGAGACAACGATCAGACGACCCCCCTCGGACAGGCCATTACAAAGACAGTGTTTCAAAAAATAACCACTCGGCATGCGGCGGAACACGGTAATATATTTGTACGTCCGTGTCGTCCCGAAAGAATTTTTCCGGACAACGGGGACGTTTGCCAACGCGCCGGTCGGTCGAATGCAAATTTCTACGGCGGACACTTCATTAATTCGATCGCGGTTTGCTAATCAGGACTACAACGCGGGTCATGACAGTTTGGTGCTATATGATTATACAGTTGTGAGCTCAGAACAGGAAACCCGTTAGAGGCGTTATGATTTATAATTCGTTCGTTGTATAATCAGTTTTCGCGTTTTTCTTAGCTGTTCTTTTTGTAATGTTATTGGGGTCAAGCGGATAAATGAAAAATGTAAGAAAGCTCTGCAAACGGTCGTTATTTATGTGCTGTGCTTTTTTCGAGTACAGGTGATGGCCGGATCGCGTGTTCGTTTATAAAGTTGACACTCGTGTCCCCCCGTTGCCGGTCGGGAGGTTATTGTTGGTTAGAATAACATAACCGTGTTTATGATAATAGTACCGTAGAGATTGTCGGTGTGCGATAACCGACCGGGGTGTCGTGTAGGTAAGCTACAATGTCATAGTGTTATAACTATTTTATTAGTAAACGACGTGTATGGTCGACGGACCAAAATGTATTTTTATAATATAAAAAAAAAAAAGAGGTTTTTTTTAAGACCAATTGATTTGTGTTGGCCCGTATTATGAGCTCGACGGCTTTGTGTAAATTATCGTTTCGAGTTGCCTGCCTTTTGCACGCTCCGTATTTAAGGTTCTTACAATAATGCGTTTGTGTGGAAAATAAAATTATGTTTATTAGTCGGTAACACGCGACACGAATTATTGGATGGACGTAGATAACTAATTGATGAAAATTTTGTGAATATTTTACACCTTGTCATATTGCATTGTCTAACATTATACATCGTCAAAATACTACTTTCGAGAAACAAAACGTGCACTAATTAGTTAATCGATTGTTTTATTGTATAATATATTATTAAGTTTGTGTCCGACCTGCACTTGTTTTCTTGTATCGTTGTTAGAAACTATAGACAAATTATATAATTATTAAAAAAAACATTTTTAATCAAATAATTTGCGAATTCTAATTAATTGAAATTATTTTTCTAATTCGTTTTCGCGCTGTAATTACTATGCGAATTTATGTTAACCGACTCGAGTATTCGGCCTGCTATACAATTAAAACCAATTTCACATTATAAATGTACGCTATTCAGTTTAAAATTATTCCACTAAATTAGACATGTTTCAGCTTTATCAAGGTTTCTATCAACATTTTGCAAACACCGACAGTTTCATACGAATTCTAGTGCATAATATATATCCTAGGAAAAACATTTTTTTTTTTTTTGAAGTTATTTTTATACGAGTTATTGTATTAACACGTAAAATCTGACATCAAGTCAGATGGTATCGCCGAATTATTTAGTGTTAAAGGCAGTTAGTAGAATTGATTTTTAAGGTAATCTGAGTACGAAACATTATCTCGGTTTGTTTACTACTTCTGAGTTTGTGACTTGTAAGTACACAATTGTCGTTCTCGTGTACAACATAATATCAGTGTGTTCGTCTGGGGCATTCGCATTTTTTTCACGTCATGCGCACGACTGTTTATTCTTTTTTCGTCAAAAATTCACCTTGTGCATGTCAAAATTCGATCATCCGTGTAACCGGCGAACAATGGGAAGGGGAGTTGAAAAAAACATCACATTTATAACGGCAAATCATACGGATCGTTGACGTCTGTCACACATATTGTACGAATTGCTGCAACATAATTGTGTGCCGATTATGTTATTTTTTGACTTTTTCCGAGCATGCACTTATAATGTTGTTTTTGTTCGCAGACCGCATCGTTAGCGTCGCAGCCAACATCTTTACTCCAACAACCGCCTCCTGCACCACCGTCCTCGACGTCGTCCAGCAGTCCGCCACCGACGAGACACTCTTCCGCTTCGCCGACCCGGCCGTCAACGGCCGTGCTCACGACTTCAGCCACTCCGGTAACGTCGACCGCCGCCGGCGGTAGTCCTACAACGGTCTCGACCGCTGTCAGCACGTCTACGGCTCCTCGGTGCTGTGACACCGGCCGACCAATCTTCACCGACCCAATTACAGGCCAAACGGTCTGTTCGTGTCAGTACGACTTGCTCAGCTATCAGAGGTTGGCCGCGTCAGGCGTTCCGGCCTTATCCATGTACACCGCGCCTTATCCTGACGGTATGGCTGCTTACTTTCCGGCCTTAGGGTCAGACCAGCCACCGTTTTACTCCGCCGTAAGTAAATCAATATAGTTGTTTAGCAAGTTAAGGGAAACCGAATAAGTAGTCATCGGTTATTTTTGAGCACACAATCGATAAAATAAAAACAGTTTTAATAGCATACACAATAGTGTAAAAAATATCTGGTCGAATGCGAACATATTTCCATAAAAACTTTATCACCTACCAACATTCATTTGTTTTGAATTGCCTCGGTAGGACACTTAGATGACAGATTAATGTTCAAAAACATTTCATTAGACGGTCTTGTAAAATTTCAAAAATACATTATTGTACACTGGAAAACATCATAAGTAAACTAAATTCAAAATATGAATTTAATGAATTCCAATTGAACCTCAACCATTTTTATAATTTTACACGTTAATTAGTATATATAAATTAATGTCCACTCGGGCAATTTGTTTTTACCTGGCTCGTAAAGGGTAAAATAAAAGTCACCGTTACATTTATTTAGGTTTTTTATTTTGCATTTTATCAGCCGATTTTAACCGTGTCAAATGACATTTTAGTAACCGTTAGAGGCATGAGCAAGACATTTTCGACCGTGTAACCCCATACAAATTAGCATACATAGACCGATTAATAACAATAAAAGTATTACTACTTAAAATACATAATAATGTACGAAATAATAAAAAGCAACTGTTCGTGTCGTTTCTATTGTCGACCGCGGCACCAAACTTCGTGTTATTGCATTTGTGTTCTAACATTACCGAAAACGAGTTCGCCCCTCGTGTGCTGCAGCTCTCGTACAGTAATAACGTGTCATTTTTTTGTCATGTATTTTTTTTTTTTTTAATACTTATGTATTATTATTTTCGTTACAGGCCGCGGCGGGACTAGATCTCAAAGAGAACCTGGCAGCTGGAGCTACATGGCCGTACCACTCGGTCTATCACCCCTACGACGCAGCGTTCGGGTATCCTTTCAACGGGTGAGTACCCCCAAAAATATAATATACTAATAAAAAGGGACCTACACGCACCTAAAACAACAATGCGCTTACACGTCCATCTGTCCAATAAGAACGAGGCCACCGTGCAACCCGCGCGGGGCGGTAGGAATGACAGTTGCCCCTTCGCGTTCTAGTCACGACCAAACACAATAAAATGGACGCCATAGTCGTGTAGTACACAAGGGCAAAGTGTACGGCGGCGTTAAAGTAATCCTCCGCGATAATAGATGTACTCGAATCCGTATTGATATATGCGTTTAATTTATGTACTAAGACTGTACCGAGTTTCGGAAGGCGCTGAGAAAGCGCAACGCGGCAATTATCATCTGTTGTACATCAAAAGTTATTGTACAGGAGATTTCATTTCGGTCGGCTCATTGTTCTTTGCTCGTTTTACTTTATTAGGCTACGACCTACCGTTATTAATTAGCATCGGCACTATTCATACTGTACTTATATGCATATTATTGTATGCAAATACTGTTGTGTACACTGGCGAAACACGATTCTAACAGCGATTAGAAGCTTTACAAGTATACGCGCACACTGCGATAATGTTGTAGGCTGAGGTGCGGTGGAATACGCTTAGGTATAATTATTACAGGGCAAAAGTCGATTATTGCGTTAGTAATGTGTTGACCAGTGCATAATGGGCGGGTTGGGGTCGTTGTTGTATACTTTTTAACAAAATTAATATTTTGAAATAAATTCACTGGGTTTTTTCCCCACGACGGGAGAAATCGCGGTGCGCGTGCACTCGCATTAGTATGCGGAAAAAAATAATAATAATAAAATAAAGTTTATAATGGGCGATTCGTGTTGTATCGATGTCGATGATAATGATGAAAACTATCCCTTTTCAAAAGCCGAGTATACATTTTTTTGTCATGTGCTCGCCCCTACATAATATTGTTTCGCTTATACATTACCCCGGATCGGAAAAAACGTGTTACGTTAAAAGCTTTGTACACTTTTCGGTGCAGGTTAATTTTTTTTTTTACATGTATTCGCTCGTTGTGCACCGTTTGTGCGTATGTTTTTTACTACAGCGATTTCGATGTAGCAGCCATTTTCGAACCTTTTTTTTTTTACAATATGTTAATCCTCTGCGAATACAGTTCTCAGAGAGAAGTAAAAAATACCGAATCGGCAAACGTCGAGAGCATCCAAATTATAACCGCAAAACTAAATTGGTAACGACAATGTACANTACAATATGTTAATCCTCTGCGAATACAGTTCTCAGGGAGAAGTAAAAAATACCGAATCGGCAAACGTCGAGAGCATCCAAATTATAACCGCAAAACTAAATTGGTAACGACAATGTACACTTGTTAATTTTTTGACGCTGTTTAGTGACCAAAGTGCAAAAATATAGCGTGTTTTTTTTTGTTTCTACTGTAGAACTTATAACGCGATACCACAATACCATATTTTAGTTTTCCGTTTTAATAAATTATCAACGCAAAAAACAATTAACTGTTTATGCGACGAACATTGATTACACACACTTTGGACAGACACCGAAGCTTAAATTTATAAAAGTTTGGCGGGTTTGTTTTTTCACGTCGTTAAACGTTATGTGAGATTTTATGTATGAATTACTGTTTTCACTTTGCACATCAGACAATTCAAGTTATGCCTTGTTTTATAAACTATTTGGTATTCAAATAATTTGCGAGTCGTTTAAATGGACTCGAATTGACTTTGCTGCCTTGGTTAATCGCTTAAAAAAATATTTAGTACCTAACTCGATCGTTTTAAATTAATGTTGCCGCGTTTAGATTTGCATTAAATAGCATTTTCAATTAGGATTTTTATAGCCTCCTGTAGACTATTACTGTGCATTTTGTTTAAGCGTACATTTATACAAACAAACATACAAATATAAATTAAAATCCACCGGCTCGAATTTCATATTATCGCGTTTATAATCGTAAAAAGTTATACCGGTGTGTTTATTTGGTTATTTTCAAAAGTGTAATTTAATGGAATTCTACCAATTTTCAAGTCGTTATGGTAGACGATATAACGAAAAATAGGGCATATAGAAATGTAATAATTCAGCTGTAGATTTAATGTACTCGTTAATATATTAGGCAGATGGTAAGATGAATAGAATTATAGATGGGCTCTTCACACGAATGACAGAGGGGGAAATAAAAAATCACCTTATAGAGGTGCCACACACACAGACAGCAGACATTACTCAAAGAACGCATTTGGGTGTGGTTTGTTGGCACTACGGGTAAAAAGATAACAATTACCGCCGCCGCCGGTGCTTTTCGCCATTATAATACCTCCTATCGTCGTTTGATAGATAAGAATTATTTTTTTAACACGCTCGGTGTGTTTATCCGGACAGCGCTGTACACAATATAATCAGCGTACAATAGCCGCGCGCCTTTACTGCGACCGCTTCTGTTTTCCACGCACACATTCTCATAAACACATTTTGTTAATGGAATCACGTAGGAAGCCACCGCCGACGACGTGTACTGGTTAAGTGGCCGCCACCGCTGGTATAGGTATACACGCGTGCCACTGTAATAAATCATACACTGTATACCTGTACACTAGATTGTCGGGGCTGCAGATAAGCCGTGAGCGTATGAAGACCTCCCTCGGAGCAGGTGCGTATGCACTCGGAGAGATTTCAACGCAAATTACGTGAAAAGCTACCGGGTTCGCGCTCGTTCCTGTCCCCGGGCACCGTTAATGCACCGCCGCGTAATCTGCGTAGACGACACTGCCAGTTGTACGCAAATAATTTACTTACTTACCGTAATGACGGTAAATCATTATTCCAATAGAGCGTACCGTATTTTACGTGGTCACTGATAAGGAGTGTTTTGACATACAGAGGCCGTACAAAAAATATATATATTAAAAAAAAAAAAATGGCGGCAGTGAGTTTTTGTAGGGTTGCGCGACACGCAAAAACGCATGTCCAACCGCAGTTACACCGGCACCGCGCCTACCTCGCGACTTTCTCGTCCCCTCCGCCGGCAGATCCGTACTGAGCTTATCGTACCGTTCGGTCGTGGCAGCGGCTATTAATTAACCGGTGCGAAACGCCCGCAACCGCACGGCCGGGGTTGATTGTTGCACTGTAACACCGTCGTCCCTCCCCCGACAGTCCGGGTCGTCCTCGTTTTTTCGTTCTACCCCGCAACAAGCTCCGCGTCGATATTAATAATACATAATGTAAGCCACGCGTCCCACCGGCGGCCGTCCAATCCGGCCGACTGTTGTATGCATTGAATTTCACACTTGCAATCACGAGTTTTTCAGTCAACGGGTAAATTAGACGATTTAACGTGACGAATAACAAAGCGGTCCAGAATTCGTCGTTGTTAGAGCAGACTCGGCCAAGACACGGTTAACGAGCGGATGCGTTTTATTTATAAATAATCGGCCGTTGTCGACGGGTGTTGGAGATTTTTCCGGTTGGCTGTTGAAATAAATGACGAGCGGCTAAAAATTTACATTATAAACTCATTTGAGCGACACTAATCCGTTTTCGAGCACCACCGACACCAACCGATCTGTTTCAGCGTATTGCGACGCAGGAATCGACATGGTTGGGAATCACTGGAAAAAAAAAAACGAAATTAATGTCAAGCGAGTGGTGTTGGTTTTACATGCTTTTATTTTTTTTTTGGAAATAACCGGTTCCAGTTTTTTAGATTTTCATATTAGTTTATTGCCGCGTGTATCGGATACGACATTCATAATATTCTCGGACGTTACAGTCCAAACACCGCTGGTATCCAACGAAAGCGAACACGTCAAACGTGTCGCTGCGTGTGTATTAAAAAATTATAATCCCAATTCGTAATGAAAATAATAATTGTTGCTTTGCATAAACATAGCACTTTCAGACCTCTGTAACCTTTTTGGTCGTTTACACACAATTTGTGTATCAGGCCGTTTGAATATTCATGTCGTACCGCTTACTAATTAATCATCGCTTAATTATACTTTCATAACTACCGCGTATCGATCATGCGGTGCATTTGCGTGCCGATCGCGCACCGTCGACGGGGAGGGCAAGGGGAGGGCGAAAAACGATGTTCCAAATTGATACGCTTCGAAGACAAAACGCAACGATATTATTTCAGCTGGCAACGCGATGTCCGTGAAAAAAATCCTCCGCTTTTCAGTGTGTAACATTTTTTTAATTTGCCTTCCGGACAACCGTTTATTTTTTATGCGCCGCCGTAATAATAACATAACCGCGCGTCGAATACGAGAGATTATAAATGTTTTATCGGTCGAATATCTTCTGCCTCTTCTTTCTGACGTTGTCGCCACCGCCGGATGCCAGTAAAATTTTATTTATTTTTTTGTCCTGTTATGACAACACGCGTTTCATTGGACGATCGTCGTTTCCCATTGTTTCTGGAATTTCTTTTTTGTCGTTTTAGATGTTTCTCTCGGAGTCCTTCGTAGGTTGTGAACGGAATAAAAAAATTATTGGTGACGTATATTTGTATTTAAATTTTGCTTTTACATAGTGTACTAATTGATCAATACGAAAAAGCTCGGAGGCTAAAAAAAAACAATACCAAAGAACGACTTGTAACGATTTTTCGTTAATTGAAAAACATTTCGACACGAATTACTTGCCGCCGCGATCATTAAATGCATTCGTGTTGTGCAATTCATAAACATCGGAAATTAAGCAATAATTTTTTACGTTTCATCTACAGCCGACGTTATGCGACGCGAATGTGTTGTTATTAGAGTTTATGTACATCGCTATTTACATACTTCTTCCTTTTATTTTATTCTCGTTGTGTTTAATTAATATAATTATTTCGAAAACGCGTTACGTGGTTTTTGGTTGCAGTAAATTCTATTGTAGTTTATTTTAAATTAGACATTATTTGTAAAATATGATCTGTCAAACTAGTCACGGTTGGGGGCACCGACACGAAGCACACACGCAATTACTGTAATTTTTTAAATAATTTTCGCCCAACAAACTTAANGCTCTACGCAATTACTGTAATTTTTTAAATAATTTTCGCCCAACAAACTTAAAATTAATACGATTTTGATCGTGCAGTTTTTTTTTTTCGGTTACTTCGCACATCCTTGTAACGATGAGACTTTGATAGGAAACAGGAAGTCGACCACGTTCACNAATTACTGTAATTTTTTAAATAATTTTCGCCCAACAAACTTAAAATTAATACGATTTTGATTGTGCAGTTTTTTTTTTTCGGTTACTTCGCACATCCTTGTAACGATGAGACTTTGATAGGAAACAGGAAGTCGACCACGTTCACGTTGAACTGCTCGTACAATGCGCGCGTTTGTACTTCTAAAGTAACGTGCATCTTGAATTTTTAATGGCCAACGGTTCGTTTGATATTTTAAAATCCAATACCATTTAAGACTCGAACGATAATACAATATAAACACTATTAATGTGCTACCAGGTCAGTCACACCGGCGCGGGCACAATGTATTATTGTAATTATTTCGAAGCATCGTAATCGACTTCCTTCCGGCGCACAAAAGAAACCACTTCCGTTGACTGGCACCGTGTGCGACGGCAGTGGACATAAGCAGTCGGTAAATTCTGTTGCGACCGGACACAACAGGCCCAAAAGTACTACTAAAAAGACACGCGGTCGCGTTCTGGTCAAATTACGAGAACAAACCGATGCGTTTTGTCTTAAAGCGCGTTTTGAAGAGTGTAAAAAACACCGAATACGGACGCGACGCCCGGGAATTGATCATTTGTTTCTTAACTAGTGTTTCTAATAAGTTTTGTATGTGTTTATAACGTGCGGTGGAAATCTCACAGACACACAAAAGTAATACGTATTCGGTTACCCGCATTATGAACGATTACCGATCATCCGTAAAACAAAAAAGACAACCGTCCTACTCGACCGGTCTTCAAAGAAACAAACGCGTCAATAATATAATAACATATACATAATGTAATGCTCTCGAATTACCCCTTTACACACACACGCAGCTCCCCAAACAGCACACTCTTTGTGCCGAGCCCGAGCCGGCGTACCGTGTTACACTGAGTTTTACAAGTTTGTCATTTTTACACCTCTTGTCCGTCCGCGTTTTCCACCTCAGTCGTCTTCGGGTGACGTTTCTTCTATCTATTTTTTAGAAAAACTTAACACAATTTCTACGCGGTATCACATCAAAGCGAAACGTATATCAACCGGTCGTGAGAGTGTCGACCGAAGACTACTCGAGCGGTGTCGTGTAAACGAACATGCATAAAAAATAATCTCTGTGTATCCCTAAGCACAGCGTATGACGATATTAGAGAAACCAAGGGAACGGTATACAAAGAGGGTTCCTCTTAGAGATTTCTCCCTACACTTTTGTTGTTCCCCTCGTCTATAGGTGGTGCACTTGGTCCAGAACTGTTGTAATTGGTCCGAAAATGAGCAGACATGATCGGTATTTTTTTTTAGCGATTCCCCTATAGTTATTGTGTATAAAATAAATAAGCGCTGGTTTTAAATTTTTACCAAACCATAACGGGAGTACAAGGGCATATCCGAAAAGTATATTTTTACATATTGTTAAACATTATGCCTATTTTATGACCGTGGTCAGATTTAAACGCATTCAGTTTCGTTTATCATTGATTATTTATAGGCTTAATTAATGGTGCGACCCAGTGGAAGTTCAATGGCCTAAGCGAATTTAGTGTCTAGGTGTAGCTAATAAAAGTTTTAATCTATTTTGAATTTCTGTTTGTCTAGCCAACGTTTATAAATGACTAACACAATCGCATTTATTATTACAGCGATAGCTTTGCGTTAAACTAGTTGTCACTTTAAGTATTTAATCATTGACATTGTGTTTAACACGTATCAACGGCATCAAACCTGAACTCTTTATCGTCACATATTATTTGTTTCAAATAAACATTGAGCGGTCAGTGAACTTATTTAGTGTGTTTCCGCTAAAAATACACCAAAACCATTGGGGTCCGCCGACACAATTCATTTAAGATTGTTAAATTCAACACTTTGAATAAAAAAAAAACTAATTGCACAACGACTATTTTTATGTACTCGTTTCATCGGGTCCTATTAATGATTCGCGTCGGGTGTTGGCAATTGTCTGATACGTGATTGGTCTTAAAAAATCGTTATTTATCGTCAACGGCGCTGTAGTTAAATCACCAAATATTTCCAATCAAGTTTGGCTTGTCGTCTGCATATTGATTGCGAAGCCTATAAAACCGCAGCGTTAATTAGGCGTTCGACGAGAGTTCACCGAGAGAATGTGTGTACCAGTGAGCATCGTGGTCGTTTATTAGGTCACAATTCTTTTAACTAGGAGACAACATTTACACGAATACATTATGATGCGAGGTAATTAATTAATTTACACAAAACATTATCGATCGCTCGGAACACCATAACCTATTTGTGATTTATATTATTGAGATCTAATTAGCAACCGAAATGCGCCGGTCGAGGTTATAACAACAAGCGTTGTTACAGTCACACATTATAATAATTACAGTGTAAAACTATTGTAACCGACACAATTATCGTGAGCCCACTCGCACAGAATATTGGCAACCGGGAGGGATTTTCGCGTCTCAAACTACCGGGGGAAATCAGAAAAAAACTCTATATACACTTGAAATTTATTCTGAACCCTATAACCCGGCGCGTCCGAAGGTTGACAATAATAAAAACCGAGTGGATTTAAAAAGAGAGAATGAAAAAAGGGAAAATGTAAATCGGGTTTTAACGGCGTGACAAGCAAAGAGATGCACCGGGTCTAAATAAAAATCCATTAGTCGGCCGAGACGTTAATTGGATATTTCGCCTGAAGAATCGGAATCGTGATTAACGGAGACGTTATAATACACAATATACCAAGTGGCGGTGAGCAAGAGGAAAAGTCGACGGGATAGTTTAAGGGGGAAACGACGAGAGTTATTCAAATTCCATTAAACCCGGCTCGGTGGCGATCCTTTTTATTAATTCCAATTAAACACCGTCGACGGATAAAAAACTAAATCTGCATAAGTTAAAAAACATTTATACCGCCGCGCGCGCGGGGGTTATCCCTGATTTTTATTTTCCCACTCAAAAGTTGAAACTGCGTGAAATCGTTTCCCTTTTCAACCGCCCCATCGCTTATTAACAGTATTCTCACTCTTTTTTTTTTTTTTATTAATCGCGCAAAAAATAATAAATACCCGTTGCTCTCGCCACATCTTCTGCCCACAACTGCGGTATTAAATAATTTTGTGTTGCACCAATGAAAAATTATAAACGCATTGCTCTGTGTTTAGGTACGGCATGGACCTGAACGGGGCCCGGAGGAAAAACGCCACGCGGGAGACGACCAGCACATTAAAGGCGTGGCTGAACGAGCACAAGAAGAACCCGTACCCAACAAAGGGCGAGAAGATCATGTTGGCCATCATAACCAAAATGACTTTGACCCAAGTTAGCACGTGGTTCGCAAACGCCCGGAGGCGTTTGAAAAAAGAGAATAAAATGACCTGGGAGCCCAGAAACAGGGTTGAAGACGAAGACAACAATAACGAGGACGATCGCAAGACTCCTGACACTAAAGATATGGGTGAGTTAAAACAAGGCCGTTTTTTTATTCCGGATCACAAAAAAAAAAAAAGCGAACACGTTCCTCGGGTACTTTTGCGATTGCACGTGTTCCGGGTGGGCATTGACACGGTTATACTTTTTTACTGACTGAACCTTTAATGTTGGCCCCTCTGTTGGCTCTCTTAATGTGCAATAAGTGTGGAAGGACAATCAAGTGGTGCGACGAAGCGTTTTCCGTAATAGCCTAAATCACGCGCCCTGTCGGTTTCAATGACCGTTTTAGCGTCGTCTTGGCCAAAAACCGCACCTCTCCCTACGGAGATTTTGGGACTATTGCAAAGACCATAAATTTCACAAAGCCGGTCGCTCTTATTTATAATACACATCAATGACACGGTCTGTAACGTTGGTCCATAAATCCTCGAGTCTTTCTGGTTCGCTTATGACAGTACCCCGTTGGTTTTCGACAGAGCCACGTGTGCCTCGGCAGTTACAAGATGCGTGTAATAATAATATGATTATGACCGTTTCTACACAGTAGTGTTGACCTCGTGAAACCGGAAACCGTGTGTTTGGAGTCGATGAAAACATAAAATTACATATTTTTTATTTGTGTTGACAGCCATTTAATAGCATTGCATTATTGCTGCGTTATGGCGTTTGGTACCATGAAATTATAAATAATCACATCTTAAGTCGACTCCAGCATCGTTGTTCGAGACCGTTTTTCCAAAAAACATCTAATCAACTCGCGTCGTTGTAATTATACACACGTCCGGTGTACAATGTTCGTTTACTGTAACAATGTGCACAAGAAAACTATTTTGTCGTTGAATTCCGAAAAATGAATGAACCGATTCAGTAAAATAATTCCTACTGCGCACACGTGCCCTCGTCGATTTACACACACGCACATTTTTTGTATTTAAATTTCGATAATCTAGTTTTTTAATGTGCCGGGAAAAGTTTATAGCGGCCAGCAGTCACATTGTACGACCGACATTAAAAAATCATATACATACTTCTTTATATTTTTAGTGAGAGCTAATTAAATAAAACATGTTTTTTTTTTATATAACGTCTGAATAACGTTTGGTCCATTTTATAATCATCGCTCAAGTACCAATTATCAGTCGAGTAACCGCAGTGTAGTAGTCCATTCAGTTAGGTTTAAGGGCTATTAACGAAATCCGGAAAAAAAAGTTTTATTGCTATCAAACGAAATCTGCCAAAAACCTTTTGACCCGAGTTGACGCATAAACGCCTACAACAGTGATTTTGACCGAATTTTTTATTTGTATTTTTGTTTACAGATTGCAAAGATTCGGGAACAGGATCGAGTGAAGATGGTGACCGGCCCGGTGCCAACCATACCGGCAGCGAATGGAGTGAATCGCGAGCCGACAGCGGGCCGGACTCACCGGAACTTTTCGAGAGACCGCCGCCACCTCATTTCTTACACCATCCGTCCCCGTATCACCATTATCCGGCAGCAATGGCTGCGCACCACGCTCACCATCACCGCCGTTTCCCATCAGCATCACCGCCGGCACCACCATCGGGCCTGTCACAGAGTAGCGCGCCCAAACCGCGGATTTGGTCGTTGGCCGATATGGCCAGCAAAGACTCCTCCGCAATGAGCACGTCACCCAACTCACCGACACCGCCTTCACTGGCCATGGGTCCGTTCGGTAAACCTGGCAGCGAACACAGGCGGCCACCAGCGGCGCCCGTCCCATCTCTGCCACCCGGTTTTGCCCGACACGAGCTGTACCGGTCGTTCTACGAAGACCCCGCGTACAGGCCGTTCGGGGTAGGAACGTCGTCAGCGTCGGTGTTCCCTTCAGCCATAGCCGCGGCCGCCGCTGCCGCAGCGCACAACAACCATCACACGGTGAAAGCCGAACCTTCGCCGGCCTCGTCGTCGGACACCGAATCAATAGTTCAGGTACAGCAGGCCGAAAGAGCATGAGGCCCAACCGAATAAAAAGCCTGCGCTGAAGTCTCCAAATAACAAAAGCAAAAAAATCCAAAGATAATAATATATATATGAAAATGAATATTACTTGTAAATTCTTTTTAAAAATTAATTCGTGTACATAGAATACGTTTATAAATATATATATATATATATATATATATATGAGATATATACAAAAATAAAAAGGCATGTATAATTGTGCAGACAATAAGTTGAATAAAAATTTAAAAAATAAGTTAAATAAATAAATAAATATTTAATAATGATATGTAATCGGATACGTATAACAGTAAATTTAACGGAGAAAAAAAATGAAATCATATTTCATAAATGTATTGTGTACATTGTATACTTGTGTATTAGGTGTAATACTAAATCATAGAGAGGACGGCCGTTCATTCGAGTCTGTCCGGTTTAAGTCGACTGGACAATCTTTTACTGTTGCACGGGGAACGTTTACACGTAATGCATTGCAATTTTTTTTTTATTGGCATGTTAATTTGTTGGTTTTTTTTTTTTAAATTATTTTTCGCAGTCTTTTTGTGAAGAGACGCGGTATGAAAATTTACCTTTTCTCGTGTCTTTCTGTTGATAATAGCGAACAAACGATAGTTGTAGATTATACCGATAGTATCATTGACAATTATTACGAAATAAAAAATATGAAAAAAAATTTAATTGTACGGGATTACGGCGTTGAACTCCTCGTGCGCGTTGACACACTTATAAATTATTATTTTATTGTTTTACATAACTCTTAGTGTATATTATTTAGAGGTTTGTACATTGTACGATGTAACGATATATATATACATAATATATATAGAAATACGCGATATTATTATTTTATTTTGTAATTAATTGGAGTAAAAAAACCATTGTTATAGCTTTAAATTTAAATTATTCTATTATGTTTTTTTGTGATATTGTAGTCGGTACTTTTCCTAATACATTGTTTTTTTCTTAAACGATATTTCATTATTTAATTGAACTCCAACACCTATTCTCTCACTCTCCTCTGTTGGCACGGCGTCGTTCGGTAAGATCTTAAAACCGTGTGGTAGTAATAATTATAAGTTCACAATAGTAAAATAACACACACACACACACACGACCAAACGGAGGTGCGGCCGACGGTGTAAAAGCGCGTTGAGCTGAACAAACACCGGCCGAGTGTGAATTTATAGAATACACATAAAAAAAAGTGTACGCGCGACAAAAACAATCGCGGTGTGAATTATCTGTTAGGGATTTATAATGGCCAATTAAACTAGTGAAAAGAATGCAGTGTGCGATGCGTACGCGGACAGTCGAGTTTATGTTGCCGAGGTACGGGCATTGTTGCGGCATTCCGGGGCCCAAATTGTGTGACGCAAGTCGTAAATCACAGTGTGCACCGCCGCCGGGGAGGTGAGAACGAGTGAAAAAATTTTCCTTACACCTCTCCGAAGATGGTGGCGCGAAGATAAAGCGAGTCTTTAACAAATCGACACGGCCGAGACCACCAACACCGTCGAGTACACAAGTCCAGCGACTAATTTGTTTTTCGATTGTCTTTTGCTCGGCCGTTGTGCTCATCTGTTTGCAATTACAGTCGTGTGTGTGTGTGTGTGTGTGTAACTTAGGAATGTCGTGGTGCCGGTCGGCATACAATGGAACACTGTCAACTACATTGGAGTTTCGTGGCATTGTCTTAGCAACGTCATGCACAATGTGTTCGCGGACATGGTAAGCGCAAGACGCATGTGAAATCACAATAAAACGTTGAATACGTTTTTGGCAAATGAGTTTGAAAACAACGATTGGTTTTTTTGAAAAACGTCTACACGTCTTTTACATTTTAAAACGGCCGAGTTACTACATGCAAACAACATGTATCTAACTTGGGCACGCATTTTTAACAAGCTCCACTAAAATAGTCGAAACAAATAGCGTTTGTAACAAGATAGTTTTCAAATCGTCGAGCAACAATATTTCTAGCCGGATATCAACAATTTGTTTAAAATTTTTAAATAATTCATCGAAATAGGTAAACGACCACGAGTTTGTTTTCCGTCTGAGTTTTTAATCGGTACGACCATTGGTTTTTTTGCAATTCACACTAGACAAAAATAAACTATTGGCTGCATTTAATTTAAATGGCACATGCACTAGACCAGACATTTGCATTGAAGTGTATCAATTTTAATTTATCATCGGCTATGCGCTAATGACTACAACTCGTTTTCAGTTGTCACATGTCCTTTTAGGAATCGCGTTTTCCAGTAACGCGAGTGAATAATTTTTCTTCAAAACTCATTAATTATATTCTTTTATGCATTTCAAAACGTTGCTTCGATGATCTGAACTTGTGCAACATGTGTGACAGAGGTTATATATTTGCAATCCCCACTGATGATGACGACGACGACTGACGGGCAGACGACTGCAGCAGTCATTAAATAAACATTATTTTTAAACGGTAATAACTTGGAGATTAAGTAAAGTCGTTCGTACAGATGTATCATGTTATTATTGGAAAACGGGTAGATCATTACATTTCTTCACCTTGCAAAATATTTATTGTGAAAAAACTGCCTTGTTTCGTATATTTCACACCGATCGGAGTAGTTTGACAATATATTTCTTGGAAATTTAGAGGAAAGTAATGTTTTTTTTTACGTTTCGTGTAGATTTCGGGTGTACTATTTTCAAAGGATTTTGGTTCCCAGTCCTGTTTTTGATAATAAATGATGTTAAATGCATTGGAAAATGAAGAATAGCGTACCGAGTGGAGTTGTGTTAACGATACGTTGTGTTTTAAAAATACCATAAAACAAACAGACGAAAAAAAAATTGGCCGTGCCCGGAACAGATACATATTGTTCTGGTGGCTTTGAAATTAATCGCTTCTCTGGCGGTTTTTAATGTGCCAATGTAAAAAAGCAGCGGTGACGATGACGAAAGGAATCGTTTTGTTTGTTTTTTCATACTCCGCCCCAAACCCCCCGACACGCGTACCGCATTAATATGCAAACACCGAGGAGAAGGGAATCATCCCGCAATGCTTATATTATTATTATTATTATTATTACTGGTGTGTGTCACATGTATATAACACTGTTCGGTTGATGTGTGTTCGCGTTTATAAGTGCCGGATATTAAATGAGTGTCGTTTATCAGTGCGGGTGGAATGGAATGAAAAAAAAAAATAAAAAACTGCGCTCGTCGTCGATGGTTGCGGTGGGCGTAAAAATGTCGTACAGAAATATATATATATATACATCATGAGGACTGTACGGCCGCAGTAGTGTATGTCATTTGCAGCTAGCGTAGCAAAAATGTGTCGAGTCGTTAACACGACGACGACGACGACGAGAGAGAAAATCTCCGGTAAGAGGACCGGAGGATTTATGCGAGGGTCGAAATGGCAGCGACCACACAGTCACGTTGTTTTAGTTGTTAAAAAAAATCTATAACACAAAGGTCGAACGATTATTGTACTCCGGCAAGACAATGCGCTACCGAGTCTGTCCACTGCCCACGCCGGTCTTGTTCGGATCGATAATCCGGTACACACATAGTACAAGACATTACACGGGACGCCAACAAAGGAACTGCACCGGGTCCGTACTTGCGGTTGACGTTTTTTACCGGCAAATCTACAAAACAGCAACGCCTTTCACTTACACGTCTCCGGTCGATACGAGCTTCTGGATTCCGCCGTTTAGTCGACAAAAAACCATTGTGCTCGAACTGACAGTGTTGTCGTCTAGTGTATGCGATCAGCCGAGTGCAAAGTATTAGCCCATGAAAATTGTTGTTAAACTTTTAGACGGCATTGTTTTACTGCCGGCGAGCCACATAAAGTACCGACACAAGTCGGGTCTTATACGAGTACACGGTTGTATACGCACATCTTCAACGCGCATAAACCGTCACTTAAATTAATTTAATAGGCGCGCAACATTTTTTTTTTTATGCGCGTTACACGAAAATAAAATTGAAATTCCGTTCAAAGTGCGCATTTTCCTTGCGGACGCCTACGCCGATAAATTTCACACGATTGGGAGTCTTTAAAAATGCTCACCAGACACTTTCAAGAGCTGCCGCCTCCTCTGCGATCATAAAATTCTACACGTTCGGATGCATTTACAGCAAGTAAGACGGTCTGTCGAACGGGTCGAATAATTTTTTTGTTTTTTATCAAGTCGGGACCATCTCGTCCGAATGATTTCATCCGGTAGTAATAAAACAGTACAACTAACGAACGTTCCAACACCGTGCTACAAGATGGAGGGTTTTTTTTTTTTTATTAACTCGAACGAAAACGTTACAAAACGAGATCGTGTACGGGTTAAATATAATTAACACACAAATGGGTTCCTTTTGTATAGCGCATAAACGTATGGCCCAATTAATGAATTCGTATTATTTGCTTAATAATCGAGACACGTTGGTTTTATTTTTCATGAATTATTATAACACACCACAATTTGAATGGACTGCGAACACGTATATGGTTAAGGCGAGTAACTCGGTTATGACTTATGACTACCGGCCTACAGTACTTACACGAATCGTGTTCGTAACAATGTACTGCGGTACGGCATTCCGACTATTTTACGAAAACAAAGAAAAACTGCTGCGTATTGTATTCAAACATTAACTGGACTACTAATTATTTGGCGACAAATGGTGTTTAGTATGTAGAAAAGCAGTAATTCATTTTAACCGGCTCCCGAATTAGCATTTTATCAATGGCCATCAAAAAACGACGGCATATTCGATGCATTTATTATTTTGTCGACGAAATGGTACCTATTTTTGTTTTTTTTTTTTTTACTACTTATATGTACCGATTTATGTGATATGGATAATTTCAAAGTGTAAAATTGTCAATTCTAATTTATTTGTTTTAGTCCAGATACAAAATCAACGTGTTAAATTACTAAAAAAAAATACAATAGTGTCGCATTTGTGTTTGCCACGGCTTGTTACTAAAATGTGCACTTTTATATAAAAAATAAAATAAAATTATGGTTACATAATTTGTAAGAGTAAATCTAATCGCTGCGGTGTTCAGATATTATTTCATTCGGCTGATTGTTTCCACACATTGTGAGCACATGAATTACACTGCCAAATTTAAGACGAGAATTTCGCATTCTATAAAATTATTAATCAAGTCAGTAGAAATCCGCTATTGACCTCAACTGAGGAAATAATTTTCTTTTACACTTTTTGTGTACAGAGTAATTCTTTTAATAGCAGCCATTCGATTTCCTTTTAAAATAACAATTACGTTAATAAATATGTTTTTGGTATTATTTAATGTCTAGTCTAAAAATGTCCGGTGATAAAAATTGTCACACCCACAGTCTCTATTTTAAAATGGTAATAACTTTCGAAATAATTGGTCAAAAGTTGTCTTCGACCGATTATTCAATTTTCATTTTACGGTCTAAATATGCTAGTTGCCATTTAAAAAAATAAAGTTCACATACTCGTAATATATGAATTAAAAAACAATAATTAATTGATGATTCAAGAAACATGTGAAACTAAAAATACCGAAAATAATTTTCTGACACATTACTAAATTTTATCAGAGATCGTATGGCTGGTGTTAAAAAAATCATCGTGTATAACAAACGAACACGTCCACACTGGTTCGAGGTGTAGACGTTGGGTAAATAATGACATTACTTACCCATTTAATATTCTTACCGACCACTGAATAGGGTCCTAAGTATGTTATTTAACGTCGAGCTACTCCGGTGTATGCGTAAAACGAGATAGAAGTCGGCGGTTCGTGCACTTTGGGAAACAGAGTACGTTTAAAAAAGGTTTTCTTGCTCTTTTACTTATCTCAATCGTCCGATACTCGGCTGTGTAAGCCTTGTCATTTCTAGATAGGTATGTTAACATTGACAGACACGACAAGGTATATTGAAATTGCCCAAGAGTAATGAATATTTTGTTTTCA